TTATCTCCTTTTTAACTTCTCCTGTTTGCCCTTGATGTGTTTTAGTTCTGTTTTGGTTTTTTGCTCTTTCAGAGGGGGAGAAGGGTCGCCTGGAAGTCAAGGGAAAGGGCGGGTAATGCAGAGGCATGGGAATTGGCCTTGAGACGAGGTGGCAGGAAGCTACCTGGCCTCGGGAACCTTCACTGCTAGATATTGCCTTCCTTGCTCCCTAGGCGTGTGGAGGCTCAATCCAGACCAGTGTGAATGCTCTGTCAGCAGACGTGCTGGGTCGATGCCAGGTGTTTGAAGAGACCCAGATTGGAGGCGAGAGGTGAGCCGTGGGCCCAGGCCGAGCTCACAAACCCGCCTGGATCTGGTCTTCTGCCATCTTTTGGCTGTGGTTTACAGGTTTTACAGAGTGTCACCTTTGAGCCATAAAGAGCTCAGATAATGTACAGCATTACAGGAAGATCTAAAGCCTTGACTCCACAATCTTCTATGCCCTGGTGGTACAGTTGTAGACCTTTCCAAGAAAGCGTCTATAAGGTTGGGATTGGGTAACCTGAGTGAAGAATGTAAGAGCAGTTGCTGAGTGTTGGGAGGGCTGGCAGTGAGGGCAATACAGTAGGACGGTAGCAGACAAGAGTTCATGTGTGTACTATTTAATCCTGGGCATAGGTACAATTTTTTTACTGGCTGCCCCAAGGCCAAGACATGCACCTTCATCCTCCGTGGTGGTGCCGAGCAGTTTATGGAGGAGACAGAGCGGTCCCTGCATGATGCCATCATGATCGTCAGGAGGGCCATCAAGGTACGGGGCTGATGGCCTCCTGCCTGCACAGCCTACTCTCATCTCCCTAGCTGATCAGACCTTGGATTTGTGTGGTGATTCCTTCTCTATATAACCTGCCCTTTCCTGGGTGGTGTGGTGAGCCCTGATTTGCCCCACAAATGGTAGAGAAACTGAGCCTCAGTTTTTCAAAAATAGGTCATCCTGCCTTGAAAGCTAAGACTTGTTCTTTTAGCCAGGTGTGGTAGCTCACACCTGTAATCCCAACACTTCAGAAGGCCGAGGTGGGAGGGTTGCTTGAGGCCAAGAGTTTGACACCAGCCTGGGCAACATAGCGAGACCCTGTCTCTACAAAAAAAAAAATTAGCCAGGAATGGTGGTATGTGCCTGTAGTCAGTCCCCACTACTTGGGAGGCTAAGGTGGAAAGATCCCTTGAGCCCAGGAGTTGGTGGCTACAATGAGCTATGATCACACCACAGCACTCCAGCCTGGGCAACAGAGCAAGCAGAAGAAACACTTGATTTTGTTAGCAAACTGTGGAGCTAATGTAGTCAGGTATTCCAGTAATTGTGCCAGTGTCCTTGAGCTGCAGGTGACCTTGAAAATAGAAACCATAAGGTTCAGCAGGTTGAAGTTGGGATGTTCTAGATAGGGGCTGTGTCTGGGCTTTTGGGGCTTGGGATGGAGGAAGGAATGAAGAACCACTGTTTCTGGGCTGAAGGGACCTACTGAGTGGCCCAGCATGGAAGTTTGGACCAGGGGCCTTCTTCCATTGAGAGGTCTGATCTCTGCAGAATGATTCAGTGGTGGCTGGTGGCGGGGCCATTGAGATGGAGCTCTCCAAATACCTGCGGGATTACTCAAGGACTATTCCAGGAAAGCAGCAGCTGTTGATTGGGGCGTATGCCAAGGCCTTGGAGATTATCCCACGCCAGCTGTGTGATAATGCTGGCTTTGATGCCACAAACATTCTCAACAAACTGCGGGCTCGGCATGCCCAGGTGGGTCCTTTCTCTCCCCAGGGTTCCGGGTTTGGGCAGGTGGGCTGGGTTCTGAATGTGAGCTGTGCTTACTCAAGCTGTTCACGTTTAGCCCAGGAGATAGGCTGCAACTCCATCCAGCCTGTCTACCTGACCACCTGCCTCTTCTGAGGGCAGAAGGAAAGCCATGGTGCTAGCACTGGAGATCCAGGGTTTCTTCATTGCTTCTACCAAGAATATGATTGTGACTGGGCGCGGTGGCTCACGCCTGTAATCCCAGCACTTTGGGAGGCTGAGGTGGGTGGATCATGAGGTCAGGAGTTCGAGACCAGCCTGGCCGACATAGTGAAACCCTGTCTCTAGTAAAAATACAAAAATTAGCCAGGTGTGGTGGTGGGCACCTGTAATCCCAGTTACTTGGGAGGCTGAGGCAGGAGAATCGTTTGAACCCAGCAGGCGAGGTTGCAGTGAGCATAGATCGTGCCATTGCACTCCAGCCCGGGTGATAGTGCGAGACTCTGTCTCAAAAAAAAAAAAAAAAAGAATATGATGCTCCTCATGGTACCACAGGAGGAACCTTGCATCCACCTTCCTGGAAGCACACGCTGACTACATGGAGTGGGCTTATCAGTGTGGTGAAGCCCTCCAGAGCCCTCCAAGTGTGACCCTGGGTTAGTTACTTCAACCTCTCTGAGAGTTTAATTTCTCCGTTTGTTAAATAGATGTAGGTTTGTTAAGTGCTCAGCACCCAGTGAATGACCCTGCTTCTGGCTTATATTAGGACTTTTGCTTAAAGGGACTTTATCTCTGTGTCTCACTTGCCTCATCTGTAAAATTGGGCTATTTGAAGCAATGAGATGAGAGATTGAATAGTATTTTTGTCATTCTTGTTTATCTTGAGAACTCATTGTTTGATAGATATATAGTCCTCAGGTGACCTGAGGATGCGGCTACCCCGAAACACAACAGCTTGCCTGGGAGAAGATCCCAGAGGTCTTATGTGGTATGTCCAGGGTTAAAGGGAGGAGTTGGTGGGAGTAGGGGTGTTTCCAGGTTCCTGACATGTTGCCATAGGAAGATGCAGTATTCTTCAGCAAAATGCCACCAAGTTCAGAGAGTCTGTGGGTTCCTAGCAGTGTCTTTTGGAGTACCAGTTTATAAGAGGAAAGTTAAAAGCAGTTTCATACTACCTCCTTTCTTTTCCTACTCTTTCAGGGGGGCACGTGGTATGGGGTGGACATCAACAACGAGGACATTGCTGACAACTTTGAGGCCTTCGTGTGGGAGCCAGCTATGGTGCGGATCAATGCGTTGACAGCAGCCTCTGAGGCTGCGTGCCTGATTGTGTCTGTAGATGAAACCATCAAGAACCCCCGCTCAACTGTGGATGCTCCCCCAGCAGCAGGCCGGGGCCGTGGTCGTGGCCGCCCGCACTGAGAGGCACCCCACCTGTCACATGACTGGCTGGCTGCTGGGTGTACCTACTGTCCTTGGCTTGGTTACTTCATTTTACAAGGAAGGGGTAGTAATTGGCCCACTCTCCTCACTGGAGGCTATTTAAATAAAATGTAAGACTTCGGATAACTTTGTAAATTATTTTGGCACAGTACTCATAAATGTCTGGCTGTAGCTCCGAATTTTAGCTTTACATGCACTTGTCCAACAGGGAGACAAGAGCATTCTGGGGTCAGCTCCACTAGAGTGGCCCCTGTCTGGAAGTTTCACTATGGTTGCATTCTTCGTTCCAGAAGTGGCTGGACAACATGCAGTTGCTTTCTTCTAGCATCATCGTATTAGCCCTGGCCTAGCCAGGCACTGCTCCCAGGGATTCTCTGGTTTGAGTGAATGGGTTATATTACCTTGTCTGCCCCTTCTATCTCCATATTCTTTTGGTTTAGTCTTTTGTTCCCTCTTACTCAAGACTGTGAGAAGGGTGTTTTAGGGAGGGTCTCATGCTCTCTAAACTCTAGTGATCCCTTGGAAGTCTACTAAGGAGATGACTGAAAGCACCCCCCTGGTCTTTTCAGTTTAGCCCCCAGTGATCTTGGTCGTTTTGCTGTCTTGTGACCAATAGGAGTTTGGAATGGCTGGCACCGATGAGCTGGAAATCCAGCAGTGTCTAACATCCTCCTCATTTACACTGGTCCTGATAGCTGGCCTGCACCCTTCTGTAGTTGGTCGTTGTTAAAGCTGGAGGTAAATATGATGTCATTGTCAGCCATTGAGACTTGCTAGCTAAAACTGGAAAGGGATTTTTTAAAAAAAATTCTCTGAACCCAGTCACTCCTGGTTAGATGGACTCAAAAGCACAGAGGGTGGTGGGCAGGTCCAGGCTTTGGAATCTGGCGTTCCTCCTAACTTGATGGTCTTTGGGTAGACTAATTTTTCTGAGCCTCTGCTATTCTACCTGTATGACAGGGTAAGAGTAGCTGTCTCAAAGAGTAGTGAGACTTAAATGTTCATTTTACTTGATGTTAGAGACACAATTTAAACCTAAAACACTTACTCTTTTTTCTGATTTTAAATATTTCAAGACCCTAGGAATCAAGTCGGGCACAAGGGCATTTTAGATGAGGAAGTCAAGGCCAGACTATGATGGCAACCTGATCTCCCATAGTCAAAGCCTGATTGGCCAGAGCCTCCTGAAGAGGCAGCGAATCCAGGGAGGGGATGGGCAGTGCCTGCTGCCCTGTTGTACTGGTGCTGAATTTGCCCTTGAAGGTAGTCTCCCAGCTGAGAGTCAGAAATGATGTATCTCAAGGCATTTCCTCTGGATGCACACACTGAAAGCAGGGTTGAGCAGTGGCAGGACAGTAACCCTAGGTGGCTTTTCTGCAGTCCTGAGGCAAGTTTTTGTTGTTTCTGAGACAGGGCCTCACTCGGTTACCTAAGCTGAAGTGTGCAGTGGCGTGATCTCAGTTCACTGTAACCTCCACCTCCCTGGCTCGATACCCTCCCACCTCAGCCTCCCAAGTAGCTAGCACTGCAAGCACATGCCCAGCTAATTTTTCAATTGGGTTTCACTATGTTGCCCAGAGTAGTCTCGAATTCCTGGGCTCAAGCAATTCTCCCGCCTCAGTCTCCCAAAGTGCTAGGATTACAGGTGTGAGCAACTGTGCCCACTGGCAAGTCTTGCTAATACTTCATTCCACTGGGTTACCTGCCTTTGTACACTTGAGCTGCAGAAAGACCATGGTAACACAGATGACCAAGTGTGGCCACAATACCATTTACTTCTCTGGGGCAGATATACCAGTTTCACCATCTTTTTTATTGGATACAGAGCCATAAATTCTCTGATGCCCATGTGAGTCCTTTTAAATACATACACTCAGGTACATTCAGCAAAGGGCATCTTACGGGTGACATGGAGCAAAGTGCTGGGATGGCAATGCCTGGGTGGGGCAGAGAAGTGTGGCCAGGAAAGGCCCCCTGGGGGCTGGAGGTACAGGCACCACTTCAGAAACAAAAATAAAACCAAAAATTGCTTTCCACCCCTCTGCCTGTGCTTGGGGCTGGGGAAGCTACCCTCTCACGCTCAGGCCCATTATAGCCTAGCTGTGCAGGAAGGCAGGGCCTAAGGGCCAGTTATGGAGGTCACCCACCAGTGGTGCCCACTAGAACCAAGCCTGCTGGCATCAGCCACAAGGCAAGCCTGGGTCACCTCAGGCCTCTGCCCTGGATACAAGACCCTTGCCAGGGCAGAGCTGAGGCTGGCAAGCCCAAGGCCAAGCCTCCCTTGGGCCATGCTGGCAGTGGCAGAGGAGGCTTAGTCTCATGGTGGGGAGCCTGCCTGATTGTCAGGGCAGCCTTGGGACTGGCTGAGGTCCCAAGGGGTTGGGGAGGGAGTCGTTGCCTTAGCTGGCCCTGGTATTCTGATGTTTACCCAATCCTAAACCTTATCCTCAGGCAAGGGCTGCAGATGAACACACTTGTCCAGGAATACATACATACACACAATACACAGCAATATATACAGAAATGCAGGCCGGGCACAAGGCTGGGTGAGAAAGCATGGCCACTGGGGTAGAGAGAAGGACCAGGCCCCCAGGGGAAGGAAGTTACACTCATCAGGGACTGACAGGCTGGGACATGTCCCATGGGTTCGAGTTAACTTCTCTGGGCACTTGGGCCATATACCCACTCACTCTCTCTCCTGTTTTTACCCCAAGTCCAACAGGAACTGGCACTTTGGCACCAATAGTCACTCTGGGAAGGCCTCCTTCAACTTAGCGCCTTAGAGGGATTGGGGCCCAGGTGACTCCCCACCTATGGCCCCAAAGATTAGAGACCAGGACCAGGGTAATAGGCAGGACCCAAAGGCAAGGGATGGAGCCAAACCTTGGAGTAGCAGGCCTTGGGAAGGAGGCCCTTCCCCCCCCCCCCCCCACTTTCGAGGCAATTCCTGAGGGGCTGGCTCAGACTCGAGTGTCACAGGACCAAGAAAACAGGAGCTGCCTTGATCCTTAGGTGGTCTCTCCTGGCTGGGGAAAGGCCGTGGTGCTGGGCAGCCCACCCACTCTTCATTCCCGCAGGGATGCATGTAAGTGCATCTTCATTTCCTGTCGGTGCTGTGGGGAAGCAGCCTAAATAAAGCATGAAGTACTTAACCCAAGTACACCAACCTCCCAAGTAGGCACTGGAGCCAGACTGGATGGCAAGGGGTGGTAGAAACACCAAGTGGCCACCCCCACTGGGCCTCTACACATACCTGGGTCCCCTGGAGCAGGGCTGCTTGCTCTCAGATATTCCTTTCTTGCATCTTACTGGGTATGAGATGTGGAGGGATCCCTTTGGGTGGGTAAAGATGGATGAAATGCTTCTGGGGATAGCCAGGCCCTCTGTCCTTGTTCCCATCCTCAGCCCTAGCTGTATGGTTGCCAAAGAAATCAATGCATAGAGCCTCCCAGCAAGCAAAAACTCCCTACTCAGCAGCAGGGCTCATCCCCAAGGAGAGAACAAAAGAAGAGCGTCAAGGGGCTGGTGGGGCAGGGGCTGCAAAGCTGCCAGTGCTCAGGCATGCATGAAGGCTGGGGGGCACAAGTCTGTCAGCCCGGGGGTGCGTGTGCAGTGGGATACTCTGACCTCTCATTCCTGCTGCAAAAGATTGGGCCTGCTCACACACATCCTTCACACACAGCCAGAACAAGGTGGAGGACTGAGGGGCTTTCCTGGAAATAGCCAAACCCGTGGGAAGTGGACGTCCCCCAGGCAGAAGGGTATCTTGTTCACCCCTCTGCCTCCAGTGCTGGTAGTGCTCGGTACTGTTGCACGAATGAATGAATGAGTGAAACTGCAACTAGCGTCTGGCCTTTCAGCACCACCTTTCTCCCCCCTAGCTCGCTGCCCATATGCCCCAACCTCCTTTCCCAGAGCTAATGCCAGGCATTCTAGTGTGTACCACCCAGAGAGAAGTTGCCCAGAGCCTTGTATTCAGGGATGGAAGGTCCCTGGGACAGAGAAAATCCCTCAGTTGGGCAGGCTGAAGCCAAGCAGGGCATCCCTTTGTGCTTTGTCCAGGAGACAGGGAAGGCAGCACCTCTGGTTCTGGGGTCACAGGGAGCAGGAGCTGCAGGGTGCAGTTGGCAAGGCAGGACCAACAAATCCAAGGTAGCCAGGCCCTTGGTGGACCTCCACCTCCCTTCCAGGCCTCTGGAGGAGAGGAAAGAAAGCCGTGCTGCTTTTTCCTGACCCCTGAGGACAGGGCTGGTGCAGGGAGAAGCCAATGGAGCCAGCTGCTCTGGGGTAGGGGCAGGGGGTGCCACACACAGCCAAGGCTTCGTGCAGGACTGGGCAGGGAGTTGCCAGCATGACACCCTTGGTATTTTAGATTTTCAAAGGGCAGGGACAGAACAAGCCACAGGAGGAAAAGTCAACAATGATAGCAAGATCTGGGACAGAGCTAGGGAGTGACGCCATGGGAGCTGGGTGTGCTGCTGTGTCCGTGGGGTCCCAGCTCTGGAGGACTCTTTACAAGGTAACCGAGGGCTGGGTCTTTATGTCCAAGCCAGGTTGCGTTAGGGAGTTGGGTTCCTGGGAAGGACTGGGTAACGAGGGGACCCCATCCCCAGCCAGGACCAGCAGCCTAATGGCTAGGGCTGGGAGCTGATCCTATCTAGGAGAGAAAGAAACCCTAAGATAGATCTAGTTTAGATGTTTGAAAGAACTTTCCAAATGAAAGTTGGCAGGACCCCCGGCCTCTGAGCCACTATGGGAGTTCTGAGAGGAGGAACTGGGGAGACCTCAAGCCTTTGGAGCCTTGGTTCTGAGACCTGATCCTTTGGGGACTGCAAAGGCCAGTGAAAAGCCCCACTGGAATCCTGTGGCTTCTAAGCCAAGTGGCTCCAGCCCAGGTCCAGCACTTCCCCTAGGCAGAAGACCCCAATGCAGCCCTCAGCCCATGGGGCCCGTGGAGACCGAGGAAGGGGGAGTGAGTCTGTTGAGGATGCTCTTCCTCTTCCTTGGCCCCATGGGTCTGGCTCCCTGCCAAGGCTACATCTTCAAGCAAGCTAATTAGACAAGGAAGCAAAGCAAGCCACCCTCCTCCTGGCTTCCTCCACGGCCTCAGCACAGAGGGTGGCCCCGTGCCTCCCTCCCAGACAGCCTTGGTGACCCGAAGGCCATCAGGTTCCTGCCCAAGCACCTGGATTAGAAGGAAATTCTTTGAGGACAGGAAGTACTTCTCACTGTGACAGGGCTGCCTGGGGCTGGGACCCTGACCCTCTGGAGGGTCCCTCAGGAATGAATGTAGGTATAAAAACGTGTGCCTTTCAGCTTTGAATTTAGCTCTGGTATGCAGTGGGGTGTGGGTTTGGGAGGAGGGGTCTTGTCTTACAGCAATAAATAAGTTTCCTCTCCCTGGCAATCCCCCACCGTGGAAGGGTGGTCTCATCCTGGAGAGAAGTTCTGGGTGACTGTTTCCTTTCCAAACCCACCCCCACTACCCCACTGTACTGCTGCCCCCAGCTTTTGGCTGACCACGTGCCCAGGTTCCTAGGTCTGCCTGTGGTATCCCCAGAAAATGTGGATCCAGAGCCTAGGCAGGCTGTCTGAGGGGGTGCCCCCAGAAGGCTGGGGCAGGGTTGGGGAGAAGAGTCCTCCTTGCCAAGTCTGAGCTGCCCTGTGGAGCCCCCGCTGGCCTGGGGCCCCAGAGGCTCCTGACCAGGAGGCTGGGCCTCAGGAAGGTGAGGCCGGCCAGAACAGCTGAGGAGCCACTGGGTGGTTATTGCAGATCCTCCAGGTGATGATGACACCAGGCGCTGGTGGTGACAGCTCCTCAATGGCTGTGCCAGAGGCTGCTCCAGCCGGGGTAGGGTCGGGGTCGGAGGGCAGCTTCTGTCCAAGCCCCTGTACTAGGGAAGCAGTGTCCTGGGTCAGGCCTGTTGCTCCGCTGCTCCAGGAGGAGGACAGGAGATTTGTCAGTCCCCCTCCAGAAGCCAGGGATAACACTCAGCCTCCAAAGGTCTAGTCCAAACCAGGGTCCCTCTGAGGTCCAAAGAGAGTGCCCTGCTATGGGGCTGGCAGGGGCCCTGCCGCCCCCTACCCGGGTTAGCAGCCACCTTCCACCTTGATGTGCAGAATCTTAGAGAAGCCGGGCCTCCGTCGCAGGGCCTGCGGACCGAACGAACCCTGGGTTAGTTCTCCCTCCTGCCACACTCACCCAGGTCACCAGCCCCAGTCTAGGGATGCCACTTGGGGTCTTGGACAGCCTCAGAGTCGACCCCTCACCTGGAGTTTTGTCACCATGTCCTCAAACAGCTTTTGGGCCTCAGGGCTGCTGGGCTCTTTGAAATAATCCGCAATCCCAATCTGGACCACAATCGACTTGAGGTTCCGGCAGATGCCTGAGAAAAGGTGGGCAAGGCAGGGGCGTGTTTGGCCTGGGCTGTGGAGCTGCCTCCTCTCCTCTCACTAATTAATGAAATCAGACAATCAGGTGCCAGCCACCGGGAACACGACACAGGACCCATGCCGCCTGGGGGCTTGCGACAAGATGCGGGGAGAGGCAGGTGGGGCTGAGGGACAGGAGAGGCTGCAGTGGCCTCTGGGAGGGTGAGTGGCAGCCGCCAGTTGTCCAAGGCCTCTAGGAACTTCCCTGACACAGGGGGCAGCTATACCATGGTCTGGGCATTTGGGGATGAATGACAAGGAACAGAGTGGCTGAGGTGAGGCTCGCGGATCCAGGCTCAAGCACAAAGGAGGGGGAGGTGGGACAAACACTTGGAAACAGACGGCTTAAGGAACTGGATATGGCGTGAAGTCGGGGGAGGTGGAGGAAGATCAGATGGCTGAGAAGGGCCTAGAGGTCATGATTCTGGAGGCTGAGCAGTTAGTTCCGGTGATAAAGTCCAGGGCATCCCATGTGGCTGAAGGGGGAAGAAGGTCTTGGAAAGAGGGTCCTCAGTGCAGGTGGAGTAGTGACTGAGAGTGGAGTGGGTGGTTTGAGAAAGGTGTGGAAGCCAAGGAGGTATGATCTGAAGTCCAGGGAGAGAGGAGTCTTCCCCCTGAGAACTGTCCTGGGGCGGGGGGTGGGGGGAGCTTTCACATATCCCATTTAATCCTCTCACCCATCCTAGAAAGTCACCTTAGAAGATGGGAATACAGGACTCAGAGAGGTATAGTAACTTGCCCAACATCACTCAGCTAATAAGTAGCAGAGCCAGACCTGGGACCTAGGTCAGTCAAGCTCCAGAACCAGTGCTCTTAACCTGTCCCCCTGCCTTTGCCCTTGGCTGGAGGCCCTGATCCATCTGCCCCAGTGATAGTTAGGCTACCTGCTGACAGAGCCCCGTGGCAGGTGATAGTCATACCCTGCCCCGCATTCCCCATTGCTCACTGTTGAAGTGCAGCAGGGCCTTAGGGGTGATGGGAGTCGCTGTGAGCACCAGCATCTCCAATCCCTTCAGGCCTTCCCGGCAGACCTCTGCCGCCACCTCCTGGGTGATCTCTGACACATGGTCAAGCTCCAGGACCTGCAGCCGCATGCAGTTTCTCGCTAGGAAGAGGAAGAAGGGGGATCCTGCTGACAAACCTCCCAGGTCACCCCTGCAGCCAGCACCCTGGCCACCACTCTTCCACCTGCCACCACCCAGGCTGCAGCCCCAGGTCCCTGTGGGATTTCACTGGGCAGCACTGCACCCATGCCTGCTTCTTACTACCCACCACCCCAGTCCAAGGAAAGACTCACCAAGTGATGCCAGGCCCTGCACCCCACAGCCGGCACCCCCGACCCCCAGGGCCCGCAGGTGGGGCCAACAGCGACCAATCATCTGCAGGCAGCGGTTACTGAAGCGCGTGGGCTGCTGGCTGGAGAACGGGAAGGGGGAGCCGTCAGGGAAGTCTTTGGATGCCTGACACCCCAGCATGCTCCTCCTGTGGGACCCCTCCCTGATTCAGACAAGTGTTCCTCCAACAACCCAGCTGGTCAAGTCAGAAAACCGGGATCATCCCTGACTCCTCTGCCCTCATCTCATCCACCAAGTCCTGCAGATTCTCATTCCCAAGCACTCTTTTTTTTTTTTTTTTTTTTTTTTTAGACAGGGACTCATTCTACCACCCAGGCTGGAGTGCAGTGGTGCAATTTTGGCTCACTGCAACCTCTGCCTCCTGAGTTCAAGCGATTCTCCTGCCTCAGCCTCCAAAGTAGCTGGGACTACAGGCATGCGCCACCATGCCTGGCTCATTTTCTTGTACTTTTAGTAGAGACAGGGTTTCACCCTGTTGGCCAGGCTGGTCTCAAATTCCTGGCCTCAAGTGATCCACCGCCTCGGCCTCCCAAAGTGCTGGGATTACAGGTGTGAGCCACTGTGCCCGGCCTTAACTACTCTTGAACCCACAGTTCAGACCACCATTGGCATTCTCTGGGTTAACACTAGTCTCCCTGCCATCTCATCCTCCACACTGTAGACAGGGAGCCCCTCATTCCTACATCCACTCACTCTGCCATTCAGCAAGTGGTTATCAAGTCAACAACAACTGAGCTAGGCCCTGGGGTGCAGTACTGACAACATAGACATGGTCCCTGCCCTCAAAGAGTGGACAGTCTCTTTGGTGGCAGGAAAGTGGTGAGGGGCATAGAACATTACCAGTCTGATCTTAATCCCTTTCTTAAAATCTAAAATCCCCCCAAATAGCTTCCAATACTTTCTAGATAAAATGCAAAAAACCTAAATTCCTTAGCAAGGCCCTTCCTGATTGCCCCAACTTTCCTTTCCATTCACACCAAACGCCATTTCCCTGAACACTTCATCCCTCAACATTTGCCCAGGCAACAGACATCTCTCTGGCTGGCATCTATTACGCACTTGATACCAGGGATACAGAAATGGACATTCCTAGATTCTGCCTTGAGAACCACCCGCCTAGTGTAGGAGATTGAAATATCAAGAAATTATTGCAAAGTAGGGCTGGGTGTGGTGGCTCATGGCTGTAATCCCAGCACTTTGGGAGGCCGAGGCGGGCAGATCACCTGGGGCCAGGAGTTCGAGATCAGCCTGGCCAACATGGTGAAAGCCCGTCTTTACTACAAATAAAAAAACTAGCCGGGCGAGGTGGCGGGCGCCTGTAGTCCCAGCTACTTGGGAGGCTGAGGCAGGAGAATGGCGTAAACCCGGGAGGCGGAGCTTGCAGTGAGCTGAGATCTGGCCACTGCACTCCAGCCTGGGTGACAGAGCGAGACTCCGTCTCACAAAAGGAAAAAAAAAAAAAGAAATTATTGCAAAGTAGATGACAGAGGGATCAGGGCAAAATGCAGTGGGGATTGAGGCAGGGGAGCAGTGACACGCTCTACCCAGGGTGTTACAGAAGGCACACTGGATGGCTGGGAGGAGCTGTCGCGTGGAGAGAAGCAAAAGAGCCTGGTGTGTTAGAGGAACTCCAAGCAGAGTGAGAAATGATTTCATAACCTGGATTCTCCAATGACCAGCTTTTTCATACACTGACCTCCCTGAACCACCTTTCATATGTCAAACAAAGCTGGTGGTTTTTAGCTGGTGTTTACTGAACAATTACTGTAGACCCTGCAGGCTTTGTGTACCTGATCTCATTTGGGCCAGCAACAGCCCTAATAAGGTCCATAGTTCCTAGTACCACCTTTACTTTGCAGTTTGAGAAACTAAGACACGATTGGGATTCCCAAGGTGGCACTGACAGTAAGCCAGGACATGACCCCAGGTCTGATTTCATTTATTTATTTATTTATTTATTTATTTATTTATTTATTTATTTATTTTACTTGTTCTTTTTGCCGCAGCAGCATGCTGCCACATTTATTTATTGTTTATTGTTGTTGTTTATTTTGAGACAGAGTTTCGCTCTTGTTGCCCAGGCTGGAGTTTATTTATTTATTTATTTATTTATTTATTTATTTATTTTTGAGACAGAGTTTCGCTCTTGTTGCCCAGGCTGGAATGCAATGGCACAATCTCGGCTCACTGCAACCTCTGCCTCCCGGGTTCAAGTGAGTCTCCTGCCTCAGCCTTTTGAGTAGCTGGGATTACAGGCATGCACCACCACGCTCTCCTAATTTTGTATTTTTAGTAGAGACAGGGTTTCTCCATGTTGGTCAGGCTGGTCTCGAACTCCAGACCTCAGGTGATCCGCCCAACCTGGCCTCTCAAAGTACTGGGATTACAGGTGTAAGTCACTGTAATCAACCAGGTCTGATTTTAAAGCCCTGCTCCTAATGCCTCAATGGACAGATTAATGTGTGTTAATCTGTCCTGATAGCTTGTGGAATGGGCTCAGATCCGCTCAGTCCTCAGCCCCAGACCAGGCCCAACTGTGTTCCCCTCCCATCCCCCAAACCTGCCAGGGCTCACCAGGGGTGAAGTGGTGCCACTTGGAGGGAGACGATCTCTCTACAGCCTGCGCCCAGGGCCCAAATGACCTCATGGCCCACAGGGTCTGTGGCACTCCTGTGAAAAGACAAAGCTGCTGGTAATCCCAAGACTTTGGGAAGTCAAGGCTGGGGTTGGGGATCACCTGAGCCCAGGAGTTCTAGACCAGGTTGGGCAATACGGAGCCCCCGTTTCTATTAAAAAAAAGAGAGAGAGAAAATGAAAAGATACAAGACAAAGCTGGAGTTGCCCACTCTTGGTGGCCTCTGCTCTTGCCAAAGCTTCCTTCCCTTCAGCCATAGAGCTCTTGGATCCCTTTGCTTGAGAACCCTGGGGGAAGCTATGCAGCACCTAGGGATCCCGTAGGACCCTGGGCCTAGAGGGAACAGGCTATGCTTCTAGTCGGTTGACCCACCTGTAGGTGACAGCCTGCAGGGCACGGCAGTAGCAACTGGCCAGCCAGAGCGAGCGGTCGGTGAGGATGTTTGGACAGTGGGAGATGCGCAGGATCAGTAGGTTCCCCCCAGCTGCCTTCAGCAGGGACTCCAGCCCAGCTTCCAAGCAGCCCCTGGAGATGACCAAGAAGTCAGAGAGCTGGCCACCTCCTCCTCTGGGAAACATCCTTACTTAATTCCAGGTCTGTCGCCCAACAGCACCCAGCACCCACCCACTGCAGGCCTCACCGGGTGCTACGGGCATACTCCTCCTTGCTCTCCTTCTTTCCCCGCTGCCGGGGCTTCAAGTTCTGCAGCGTCAGAGAGTGGGCCTGGGTGCACCACTGAGCCAGCATTGCCAGGAACTGTGGGGGAGGGGAAGAGTATTTGGAGATGAAGGGGTCTGCACTTGGTTGGCTGGAGGTGGGCCAGCCCCGGATAGGAGGCTGCATGAAAGCATTTCAGGGAAGCCAGGTTGGCGCTACAGTGTTGTAAGGGTTGCAAGGACCAGACCTTCAGGGGCCCGATTCTACCCACGGGGAAAGGTGGGTTCACAGCAGGGCACAGAAGGCAGGCAGGGGCAGGCACCTTGGAGCAGACACGGGCATTCTCAAGCAGCACCCTTGTCCAGACTGCAGGGTGGCGGGCCACGAAGCGCCAGTCCCGGCAGACCTCAGCGGCGTGCAGCAGTGTGCGCGTGTCCAGGTAGGTGAAGATGCAGAAGAGGGCGGCTCGCATCTTCAGGATCTCTGGGCTGATGACCTCATTGGAGCGTGAGGGGCTGCCCCTCTCTGCTCGCCGACCCCGTCCACTGCCTCCCTCAGGGCGGGCTGCAGAATACAAGGGTTTCAAAAGTGAGCGTGGAGGGTCAAGGCTGGTGTAGGGATGTGTGTGGGGAGCTGGGGCAGGGTAGGAGCTGCAGAGCAATGGGCATGCTGTGGTACCAGGGCCTAGGGAGGAAGGAAAAGGGGCCTCTGCATCCCTGTCCTTTGCGGTACCCCATCTCGTTTTACAAATTACAAAAAGGCATCCCTTGTGTAAACTTTCTTTTTAAGGTTATATATCATTCAAACTCACCCCCTACATGAGGCAACATATCAGATTTGGAGAGGGAAAGGGGTTGGGGGATGCTGCAGTATAAACTGGGCCTCTGGAAACAGAAGGTGGGCATGGGGCTACCCAGAACATGGGGTGCAGCTACAAGCCTGACCCTAGGCTAGCCCTCTCACCTCCCAACCCACCCACATATGTGTGGGGCCTTCTGTGAATATGGTGGGAGGCCTCTCCCCGACTGCACCAGGGGCTTCAGAGTTGGGAGGCAACAATCAACTGCTGTCCTATAAATGTTGATGAGCCCACCACGTGAATGGACCCCCCCCATCCCCCGGATGTGGCATCCTTGTGCATCAGACAATCTGAGCATACTTGTGCCGCTGCAGCCCTGCCCTGTTACAAGAGTTCCTGCCCTAGGCTTGAAGGGTGCTATGTAGGAGGGGTGGGCAAGTCTGGGGAAAGGGAAGGGGGGTGCAGGAGCCCAGGAGATGCACTGCCTCAGACCTGTGTCCCCCTGCCAACCCTTCCGGGACCTACCTGAGAGCCGGCAGCTGCTCAATGGCCCAGCCATAGCAGGCCCGGGGCGGGGCGCATCCAATGGGCCCTCAGCCTCTGACTCAGTGGTTCGGGAGCCAACGTCAGAGACATCACCCTCTTCCCCCTCAGTGCTGTGTCGGCGGGGTCTGCGCTGCCAGTTCTGGATGGCCTGGCGCCGCAGGCCTGAGCTGCGAGGGGGCTGGGACCGCTCTGAGCCCCCATTGGCAGCCTGGGCCCGTGTGCCCAAGCCCCCAGGGCCACTGTCCTCAGGGGCCCCCTCCTCCGGCCTGGGCAGCTCCAGACTGTCACTGTCATAGCAGCCTGAGCTCTGGGATGCGGCTGGCACACGGCTGGAGGCCCTGGGGCAGGGTGGATCACACAGTAAGGGGTGAGAGGCACCAGGCCTGCCCAAACTCCCCACCCTGCCCCTACCGTCGGCTGAGGGCAACCCACCCACACTGCTTTCCAAAAGCCCCCTCTGGGTGCGGAAAGGCAGACACATGTGACCCGGGGGGTTAGGGACAGGAGGATGACACAAGCCCCAGACAGGTCAGCGGATCTTTCCAGGGCGAGGGTGGGCTGCATGGGGTGGGCTGGGCCCAAGGCTTACCCTGTGCTGGGAGAGGAGCCATGCCGTGACACTGCATATGTGCTAGGCACGGCCGGGCCCGCGTGGTGTTCTCGCTGTGGGCCCCCAGAGCAGGAGGTAAAGGAGAGGGGCGGAGGAGGCAAGAGGATGAGCAGGAATAGCAGGGGAAACAAGGAAAAAGATGGAGAGGAAATGGGGGAGAGGAGAGAGAAGGGAAAACAGTTGGGAAAGATGGACAAATAGACAGACAGACAGCCCAGAGAGGCAGGTTCACCGGCCCCTCCCCACATCCACCCAACACCCCGGACCCCAGCTTGTGGCTCCTGGACTCTCATTTGCAGGGATGGGCAGAGATAGCCCCTGAGGGCTGGGGTCACTGAATCATATCTCACTACAGCCTCGGGGGCTGGCACTGGCACTCCTGCCCAATCAGAGGGTCTCCCCGTTCCTGGCATCTGCTCGTGGGGGAAAAGCCAAAGAAGGGGCAAATGGGGCATCATGGGGAGATATCCAGCCATGTGAAAGGTGAGGTTGTGGGGGACCAGGTGTGCAGGTAGAGGAGAGAAAGCAGGTGGGCACTCACCATTCTGCCTGGGCCCCGGGCATTGGGGCCAGCACCACTGCCCCCACCTCCACGGCCCAGGCTGGCACTGGGCGTGCTGCCACAGCTGCTGCTGATGACCTGCAGCTGTCGCTCAGCACGGTCAGCCCGCTCAAGGAGTTCCTCAATGAACTGCTGCAGCCGCAGCTTGGCGCTGGCCTCCCGCGCCGCTGTCTCCTTCAGGAACTGGTCGATCTGCACCACCTCCCTGGGCCCAGAGCAGTCTCTTACCCCAGAGCCTCAGCCTGCCTGCCCACCCACCCTCTGGAGGAGAGCCTGGCCAGTGTGGGGAGACACCGGCACAGCTGCCTGCGGTGTCTGCTAACGGTCACATGGGTTCCTGCAGAACAGGCCTAGCCCCGCACGATGATACATACAGAAATGCATGCATGCACTCTGAGCCACACACTCACACCCCACCCACCCGGCCCCAGACCCTGCTCTCCACAGAAATACTACACACCCCGCTCTCCACGGAAATACTCAGGCATACTCAGTCCCACACAACCACTCGAGGCACACACACATCCCCACACACGTACCCCATGTACATTCATATGCCATAACCAGACACATCTCTCTCATACAGAAACACAGACATATTCAGTCACATGTGCATGGCCTTCAACACCCAGCATCCCAACACAGAACACTCCTAGGCACATACTTAGAGCCACCAGCCATGTCACATATCCCCACACAGAGGCCCATTACACAGCCCCAGGCACAGCCCCACACATTCATGTTCATGTACTCACATCATTTTCCAGCTTGGGCATGTGCTCACGTGTGAGACACGCAAAGAACCATGGAGGCACAGTACCACCGACACAGTCAAACATACTTTCAGGAACCTTCAAAAATACACGCTAAGTCACATCACCCCACAGAGGAATACACTCAAATGCGGAAGCATACTGATAGTTTGCACCAACTTCTAGGAGCTGCATGAACACATGGCACACTTAGAATCACGTGTGTACTTACTCCCAAATGCATTCCCGGTTGTTTGTGCATCCATTCAACATTTATTCAGCACCCTCTAGGTGCTAGGCACTGTTCTAGGTATTGGGGAAATAGCAGTGAACAACTCCTGCCTTTATGGAGTTTACATCACAATGGGGACACATAAATAACATCTATATGCAAACGCTCCTTGGCTTACAATGGGGATACATCCCCGTCAGCCCATTGTAAATTGAAAATATCATCAGTCAAAAATGCATTTAATGCACTTACCCTACTGAACACCAGTGCTTAGCCTGGCTTGCCTTAAATGTGCTCAGAGCACTTCTATTAGCCTGCAGTTGGACAAAAATCACTGTACACAAAGTCTATTTTATAAAAAAAAGTGTTGATCTCATGTAATTTATTGAATACTGTACTAAAGAAACAGTATGGTTGTACATACTGTTTTTCATTTTCACACAGTACAGTTTCTACGGACTGCGTGATGCTTTTGTAGCATCGGAAAATCTAAAAATTGTGTCAAACCATCGTAAGTCAGGGGTCATCTGTAGTTCATAATCCTACATTTAAAGACCAGAGAAATGAAGAAGATTGAGACAGATAGAAGGAAATCCCAAGAGTGTCCTGGAAGCCAAGGGAAGAAGGCATGTCAGGCATCAGCTATGTCAAATGCCACCAATGGGCCAAGTAAGACCATGGCTAGGCCTTAGCAACAGAAAGGTCACTGGTGACATGGGGACCCTGGTAGAGGTGGAAACCCGATCAGCCTGGGTTCAAGAGAGAAAGTAAGGAAAGAAATTGGAGACAAGAAGTATAAACAAATACAAGGAGTTTTCTGTAAGGAGGAGAGAAAAGGAGCAGTAGCTTAAGGGGAAGAGGGTTGTGGCAGATGAGAGAAATAACATTCTGTATGCTTTTAGAAATATGCAGAAACAGGCTGGGCGCGGTGGCTCACGCCTGTAATCCCAGCACTTTGGGAGGCCGAGGAGGGCTGATCACCAGGTCAGGAGATGGAGACCATCCTGACTAAAATGGCGAAACGCCGTCTCTACTAAAAAAAAAAAAAAAATATATATATATATATACACACACACACACACACACACATACACACACACATATATACAAGGTGAAACCCCGTCTCTACTAAAAAATACAAAAAACTAGCCGGGCGTGGTGGCGGGCGCCTGTAGTCCCAGCTACTCGGGAGGCTGAGGCAGGAGAATGGCATGAACCCGGGAGGCGGAGCTTGCAGTGAGCTGAGATCGGGCCACTGCACTCCAGCCTGGGCGACAGAGCGAGACTCCGTCTCAAAAAAAAAAAAAAAAAAATTAGCCGGGGGTGGTGGCGGGCGCCTGTAGTCCCAGCTACTCGGGAGGCTGAGGCAGAATGGCGTGAACCCAGGAGGCGGAGGTTGCAGTGAGGCGAGATCGCGCCACTGCACTCCAGCCTGGGCAACAGAGCAAGACTCTGTCACAAAAAAAAAAAAAAAAAGAAATATGCAGAAACAGAAAATCTGATGATGGGAGAGGGGAGAGTTGAGCTATGTCTTTGGGTAGACAAAAGAGAAGAGGATCTGGTGCCAAAATGCAAGAGTTGGCTTGTCTAGGACAGAGAAGAAGAAAGGCAGTCTTCACAAAGAGGCACAGGGTCACACTGCCATGTCCTCACAGTACCAAACACACATCATCATGACACTCTTGGCCCCACATGCATGCTACTGGCCACAGATCCCCTATTACAAAGCCATGGCCACATACAGACACACTCAGGCACGCCCACGGTGGTGGTGGCGGCGGCACAGTGACCCGCACAGGCACAACCACCCATAGGGCCCCGAGGGTCTACTCACTGCTGCTTGCGGCTCAGCTCCTGTTCCTTGTGCACCAGGTCCTGCTTGAGTGAGGCCAGAAGCTCTACGCTCACGTCCACCTGGCGGGAGAGCTCAGACGCGCGCTCCTCCAGCTCCTCCTTCTCGCGCCCAAGCCTTGCACTCTCCTGCCGCGCAGTCTCCAGCTCCGCCGCCTTGCGCTCCAGCTCGGCCTGCAGCCGGCCCACCTGGCCCGCGATCTTCTGCTCCACCTCCTCGCTCAGGCGCTCCAGCCGCCGGTCCACCTCCAGCTTCTCCAGCGCGCGGATCTTGAGGCGCGCCAGGCCCTCTTCGTAGGCCACATCGGCAGGTGAGGGGGACGCGGGCGAAGCGGAGGCAGGCCCGGGGCAAGGGCCGGGGCCAGGCCCAGGCGGCGGCGTCGAGCACGCCGAGGACGCCACGGACTTGCGGGCGAACAGCTCCCCCAGCGGGATCTCGATCTCGCGCAGCGCATAGCGCGCGGCAGCGGCGGGCACGAGGCCCGGCTCGGCCAACTCCTCGCAGGGCAGGCTAGCGGGCACCAGGTCGCCGGGGAAGTGTGCAAGGGGCGCGTGGTGGTGGTGGTGGTGCAGCAGGTGCGGCGCCGCGGGCGACGGCCCGGCCGCCTGCTCCTTGCCCTGGAAGGACGTGCTCTCGAAGACCTCGCGCCGGGCGCCGGGCACGGCCAGCAGGGCGGCGGGCTCGGGCGCCAGCGGGAAGCCCGAGGCGGCCGCCGCGGCGGCCGCGGCAGCGGCGGCGCCGTCGCAAATGCTGTTGGTCTTGGAGAGGATGTAGAGCGTCTCGTAGGTGTGGCTGTACTCCAGGTGCGCGCGCAGCGACGACAGGCTCCGGAAGCGCTTGTGCTCCCCGCAGCGGGGGCAGCGGTACGGCAGGTCCAGCGAGGCCATGGCCCCGCCGCCCCCGCGGCACGCGGGCTCCACCGCGGCCGCCCCGCCGGTCAGCCGGGCGCGCTCATGGGGGACCGCGGGCCAGGCCCCCTGCGGGGTCAGGAAGGCTCAGGGCGCCCGCGGCCCGGGGCAAGGAGGCTGGAAGAGACGCGACGAGTCTTAGGAATAGGGTATCACTGTTCCCACCCCGGCTCCCAGTCCCGAGCTCTCATCCCCCAGCCATGAGGAAACAGCATCGAGGGGCAAGGGGCGACCTCCCAGAGGAGGCTGGCCTGCTCTGGCACCTGTGTGAGGGCCTGTATATGTGCAAGAGAGAGAGAGAGAAAATGAGATAATCTGTTTTTAAAGGGGCTGGCTCGTAATTACTTTTATTTATAATGGTTCCAACCTGGAAACGACCCAAGTGCCCATCAATGGTAGAACGGTTACACTGTAGCATATTAATGATGGAATCTACCCAGCAATACGAAAAGAAACTATTGGTACACACAGTGACATGGATGAGTCCATCCAATATTATGTTGCATGAAAGAAGCCAGACCAAAGAGTGCATGCTGTAGAATGCCAGAGAGATGGAGTTCAAGAACAGACACAATTGATGATGAAGTCAGCATAGAGGTCCCCAGCTGGGGGCTACATGGACTGGGAAGGGGCAGGAGGCAGCTTTATGTGATGCGGAGAATGTTCTATATCTGCTCTGGGTGGTGGTTATACAGTTGTGTACATATTTAAATAATCATCAAGCTGTATACTTAAGTGTAAAAATCCTTGGAAAGAAGATGCTTATTTTCAGCTTTTGCAGACTGCACCCCCACACAGGCTGGAACTATTGGTACCATGTTTCAGTAACCAAAACATCACTCTACCTAATGACATCTTGTGTCACTGTTTGTTTTGTCCCAACTTCTGCACCACATCCTCCTATCCCTATCACTCCAAGCCCTTAGGTCTTTTTCTCAGACCTAGAAAAGGTGAGGTAGGCTTCCAGTAAGTGTCCCTGCCCCACCTTTACCCCAAGGGCTTTATTATCCATCCTCCCCACACCCCTTTTGGCACAAGGTCCCTCTATCCCCCCACCAATTCTGGCATTCCAACCCTCCTCACCGTCAACTCCTGCTGCCCCTCCAGATCTGGCTTCCTGTCACCCTTCTCCTACCTTGTGGGGTCTCCATCCCATTCCTCACTGCCATCCTCTTCCTAACTGTCTGCAATCGGGCTTCCACTGCCCTGTGATCAAGGTCACAGACCACCTGCTGATCAGTTAAGCCAGTTGTCATCAAGGGTCTTCACCTACTTGGTCCCATGGCTGATACTGTTGACCCCTCCATCTTCACAGGCTGCCATGAGCTTTCCTGTCTGGATTTTCCCATGGGTTCTGCAACTTCCTGTTCTTGCTGCCTTCCTAAACGTCCTCATTCCCTGAGGTCTGCCTCTGGAGCCCTCCATCTCTATCCTCCCCCCAGGAAGGCAGTCGGCTTCCCTCCCACAGGTTTACTCGCACCTGTAAGCTCTACTTCTCCATCCTGACCTGCCGCAGAGTTCTGTTGCCTTCTGGCATTTCCACAGGATGTATGGGTGGATGTCTGTTCCCTTTGCCGGCCCAGCATCCAGTCCTCCTCCCGGTAACAGCACCCTGCTTTGACCATAGGGAACCATCCTTCCCCACTTTCTCAGTCCACATGGTCTTGGGGATGTGACATAGACCTGGCAAATCCCCAGTCCTGGGGTAAACATGGAGCACCAAAGTTGAGCCACTGAGCCCCAGGACTGTTCTAGAATGACTGAGGGAAAGCATTGTCTTTGGGATCAGGTTTCTAAGCTGATGGAGAAGGCCGGAGCTGCTGGGGCCATCCTTTCTCCTTTTGGGAGGAGACACCTGGGAATGAAGCCAACCCAAAGAAGCAAAACTTAGATGGAGAAAGACATTCCTCACAGACACTGTTTGAGAGCCTGGCCTGTTCAGTTACACAAACTAATCAATTCTGCACCGCCACCCCCTTTTTTATGAGATGGAGTCTCACTCTTTCACCCGGGCTGGAATGCAGTCGTGCAGTCTCAGCTCACTACAACTTCCCCCTCTGAAGTTCAAGCGATTCTCCTGCCTCAGGAGTCCCAAGTAGCTGGGACTACAGGCATGTGCCGCCATGCCCAGCTAATTGTTGTATTTTTAGTAGAGACAGGATTTCACCATGGTGGCCAGGCTATTCTCGAACTCCTGGCCTCAAGTGATCCACCTGCCTCAGCCTTCGAAAATGTTGGGATTACAGGTGTGAGCCACTGCACCCAGCCCCTATTTCCCTTTTTTGCTTAAGCTAGTTACAGCTGGGTCTGTGTTACTTGCACCCAGAAAACATCCTAACCAAGAAATTAGAATCAGAGATGGAAAGTTTTCATAGACCCACAAAAGAAATTAGCTGAACTAAGGAGTGGCGCATAAGCTGGCACTACTTCCCCCATTCCCCACTCACAGGTTGGTGAACAGAGCAGCAGCAAAGCAGATGATGAAACTGTCTCCCACCATCCCTGGAGCTCAGGCCATGTACCTACCATGGCTGGAACATTAGGGGATTTGGAGAAAAATGTCAGGATGTTGGGAGTGTCTTTCCAATGGCCTCAGTAAGGTCCAACAAGCAAGAGACACACTCTGGCTGAAAGGAGCCCATCTGAAAGCAGAAAGGAAGAAAAGTTGGGCTTGCCCAGAGAGGCCCTTTCTGCTTGCGGCCAGTAATTCAACATGGCTGAGAGTCAGATAATTAAGAGCCAGTTCTTTACTTCAAGCTAAAGGCAGCTGAAGCGAAGACAAAGAGGCTGGGAACTAAGAGGGAGACAAGCCTGGGGCCTGACAGGTACTCAACTCCTCAGGCCCTGCTGAACCTCTCCTGCTGTGCCCCCTCCAGCTGGACAGAAGCTTCCATTATAAACAGCTTTCCATTGGGATGAAGCTTGAGTGAGAAGAGGCAGATAACCTTCTGCCTCCCACCCCAGACTAGGAGTTTGCATTGCCCTGTGGCAGAGGCCCAGCTAGAGGCTGCAGAACCAAGGGCTCCTGGGATGGGCAGAACACTGGGGCCTGTTGCTAAGAGATAACCCTTACCCTCCTTCTATACCACCACCAGGGACTTCATTCAAGAATCATAACTTTTTTTAACTTTCTTTCTTTTTTTTTTTGAGATGGAGTCTCACTCTGTCACCTAGGCTGGAGTGCAGTGGCATGATCTCGGCTCACTGCAACCTCCACCTCCCGGGTTCATGCCATTCTCCTGCCTCAGCCTACTGAGTAGCTGGGACTACAGGCGCCCAAAACCACGCCCAGCTAATTTTTTTGTATTTTTAGTAGAGATGGGGTTTCATTGTGTTAGCCAGGATGGCCTTGATCTCCTGACCTCGTGATCTGCCCGCCTCAGCCTCCCAAAGTGTTGGGATTACAGGCGTGAGCCACTGCGCCCGGCTAAGAATCATAACTTTCATAGAGGTCTCTAGCTTTGGTTAATAGCTCTGGGGATAACCAAATGCAAACTGACTGAAAAGCCTCCTGGAGATTAAGGGAATTGTATTGCCAGAAAGCCTCCACAAACCAAAGGATTGCTCAGCCCCTATGGTTGCCCTGAACCTCCCCAAACCTGCATCCCTCAGTGCTCCCCTCACAGAGACAGCGAAATCAGAGCAGTGAGGTTGGTGCACCAGGGAACCTCTTCCTCACCATTCAGTCAAGCATGTGGACCACAGACCAGGTTTTTTCCTCACCCCCCTCTTCAATTAGGAGGGTTTTTCCTCCTTTCAGCTATACAATTTTCTCTCCATCATTGTAGTTGGGCCTCAAATGGAAAGACCATGAGCGTAGTACCTAACCAAACAGCCCCTTGCCATTGCCAAGATGTTGAATTGGGGATAGACATGGTAACTGGGTGAAAACTTGGAATGTCTCCTCCCAGAAGTGGGATAACTATGCTTTAAGTTTGATGAGGGATAGTTGCATTATGATAAACATGAAAATATTTTTTGAAATTACACAGTAAAGGGGGTCTGTGTTGATCTTGGACATCTAAGAAGTGAAATACAGTGCACTTTTATTGTTTTTACTGCCTGGCTCTGATCCCTCTTTATTGTGAATTGATCCCCAATTTTTCCTTTGAGAACCATTCCCTGCACTTTGAATAGATTTGGGTAGGGCTGACCACATCCATTGGCTCCCAGGGAACACACATGACCTCAGTCTGTTCCATTAGAATTATAGTGGTCCAGTCAGTAATGGACTCATTTCTCAATCTGGGCCGATACAGGCACTTCAAGAGCTGTGCTCAGTTGGTAGGATGTGAGCCTGGAGCATCTTGTGGCCATTTTTGTCCTCTCTTTGAGACAAAAGAAGTAAAGGACCCCTGATGATATTTGAACATCCACATTCAGACGTGCCTGAAGCTCTAACCCACGACTTGACCATTGAGAAGGGCTGCAAATGTTTTTGTAGCTTTAATCATTTGCGTCAGTTGCCAGTCTCTAGTAATGAGACTCCAGACTAATACAATGGCCCACAGTTTCAAAAGCAAATCCCAGACTTCTCCTCACTTACTACCAGCACCCCTGTTTCCTTTGGTGTCACTGTCCTCACAGCCATGCCACTGACCATCTTGATTTTTCTCTCTGCTAACCATCAAGACCTACTGGTTTTTCCTTCCAAGTGCTTTCAACCCAACTGTTCTTTTCTCATGCTTTGTACTCTTCTAGGCCACAACCTCATCACATCTAGACTGCTGGCTCAGCCTTCAGTCCTGCAGCTCTATTCCATCTGTAAATGCATTGGATTCCTCTGCTCAGACTCCTTCAAGGGGACCCCCATCCACTACCAACTGCAGCCAAACTCCCCAGCTTCATGATCTGGCCTCTGAGCTCTTACCAATTTGAAACTGAAAAGTGGCCTGGCTGTTTCACTTCCATGTCCTTAACTGTGATGGCTGGACATTTTTTCACACATATACCAGCCATTTCTATCTCTTTGGTAACTTGCCTGTGCACTACTTCACTCATTTTCATACTTAACATTCATATTTTCTTATCGATTTACAAAAGCTTTTAATATTATTGATCCTTTGTCATTTATATACTGCAAATATTTTTCTCAAGTGTGTTGATTGGCTTTTACTTTTGTTTATGGTCTTTATTGATATACTAAAGTTTTGAATTATGCCGCAGTAAAATCGGATTTTGTTTTTATGCTTAGGAAATCTCTCCCTACCCAAAGATTATAAACAGTTACATATGTTTTATTTCGATACTTATGATTTCCTTTTTTAAAATTCCAGAATATTTTTTAGAATTAAGGACTTTAAACAAATAACCATAATACCATAAACTAACAATGACTTGGGAGTATATAAATACTTTAGGCTGTATGATTTCCTTTTGGATTTTTTTTTTTTTTTTTTTAAGAGACAGGGTTGGGAGTGGGGAGGGATAGCATTAGGAGATATACCTAATGTAAATGACGAGTTAATGGGTGCAGCACACCAACATGTCACATGTATACATATGTAACAAGCCTGCATGTTGTGCACATGTACCCTAGAACTTAAAGTATAATAATTAAAAAAAAAAAAAAAAAAGAGACAGCGTCTCGCTTTGTTGTCCAGGCTGGTCAGAAAGTGCTAGGCTCAAATGATCCACTCACCTCAACCTCCCAAACTGCTGGGATTATAGGCCTGAACCACTGCATCTGGCCTACATTTGGATTGCTTTTCTTTTTTTTTCAGACAGAGTTTTGCTCTGTTGCCCAGGTTGGAGTGCAGTGGTGTGGTGATCTTGGCTCACTGCAACCTCCACCTCCTGGGTTCAAGTGATTCTTGTGCCTCAGCCTCCCGCGTAGCTGGGATTACAAGCACCCACCACCATACCCGGCTAATTTTTGTATTTTCAGTAGAGACAGCATTTCACCATGTTGGCCAGGCTGGTCTTGAACTCTTGACCTCAGGTGATCTGCCCACCTCAACCTGCCAAAGTGCTGGGATTACAAGTGTGAGCCACCACACCTGGTCCATTTGCATTTTATAACCCAGCTAGAAATTTTTGGTGTGCATGGTGTGACAGGAATTTTTAAAAACCAACTTTCCATTATAGACATTTTCATACATGTTCAAAAATAGAGTATTATGATGAACTCCTAGGTACCCATCATCCAGCTTCAAGAATTCTCAACTCATGGCCAATTATTTTTCATCTGCACACTACTTCCCTGCTTCACACTTGCCCTGCCCCCACTATTGGATAATTTTGAGCAAATCCTAAATATCATATTATTTCATCCATAAATACCTTAGTATATATGAGACAAGACTTAACTTTCTTTTTTTCTTTTTGGACAGAGTTTCGCTCTGTCTCCCAGGTTAGAGTGAAGTGGCGTGATCTCAGCTCACTACAACCTCTGCCCCCTGGGTTCAAGTGAATTCTCCTGCCTCAGCCTCTCGAGTAGCTGGGATTACAGGTGTGTGCCACCAGGCCCAGCTAATTTTTGTGTTTTTAGTAGAGAGGGGGTTTTACCATGTTGACCAGGCTGGTCTTGAACTCCTGATCCACCTGCCTCAGCCTCCCAAAGTGTTAGGATTACAGGCGTGAGCCACCACACCTGGCCAAGACTTAACTTTCTTTTTTTAAAAAAATGATATGTAGTAGGCTGGGTGCAGTGGCTCACGTCTGTAATCTCAGCCCTTTGGGAGGCCGAGGCAGGTGGATCACCTGAGGTCAGGAGATTGAGACCAGCCTGGCCAACAGGGTGAAACCCCGTCTCTACTAAAAATACAAAAATTAGACAGGTGTCGCAGCAGGTGACTGTAATCCCAGCTACTCAGGATGCTGAGGCAGGATAATCGCTTGAACCCAGGAGGTGGAGGCTGCAGTAAGCCATTGCATCATTGCACACCAGCCTGAGCAACAACAGCAAAACTCCGTCTCAAAAGAAGAAAAAAAAATGGTGTGTAGTAATTGTTCCAACACCACCATCCTTTAGGTATATTAAAACCCAAAATGTAGCCTTAAGAAGTAAATCCAAAAGATGGTTCTTTGAAAAGACCAGCAAAATAATTAGGTCTCTGGCAAATCTATTCAGAGAGAGAGAGAGGGAGGGAGAGAGAGAGAGAGAGAGAGAAATAGAGAGAGAGAGAGAGAGAGAGAGAGAGAGAGAGAGAGAGAGAGAATGCATTTATATATAACACATGGGGAAAAAAAAGAGAGATAACTGCTGGCACAGAGAAGATTTTCTTAATTACTACCAGGTACAACTCTTGGCCCAAATCTTTGAAAATCTGGGTGAACTGAATGCTTTTCTAGAAAAATATATATTATCAAAATTGACTCAAGAAGCAATAGAAAACTTGAATAGACTAATAACTATAGACAAAACTGAAGAAGTTGGCAAAGTGACCAGAGATATTCTAGAGTTCACATACATACAGAACTGTTCAGGAACAAGGATATTCTGTAATGTATGGTGAGCCTGGTGTCAGGGTATCTGTGTGTATCTGTTCATCCTAACTAAGTGCTGGTCCTTCCTGTGGGGGGCATCTTTCAGGGCCCCAGAAGTAGCCAGCCTTCTCCCCACCCTGCTCTCTCTCACCATATACTTTTGAAGTGCCCCTTTTTGCCTCACAGCATCCTGCTAGCCAGGCTGCCAGAGAGTAGGGGAAGGCGAAAGTCTGGGAGTGTCAGCCTGTGGATGGATGTGTAAGGTGGAGGAGGAGAGGGACTTCTGGGGTACAGGTGCCTCTTCACCCCGGGCCAGCCCTCCTCACAGTTGCTCTCCATCTGCTGGAGCTGAGGAATGACTACAAATCTTAGGAAAATTTTTGTCTAGATTTATGCACCTCCTAAGCATGCACCTGAAGCTTTGCTTGAATATAGGCGAGAGGGCAATAAAGTCAGGGGGAGGCAGGACAGAGGAAAAAGGAAAACAGAAGTGTTCAAATTTTATCACAAGTCTGTACTATGAGCACCAGGACAGAACAGTTGGAGATTTTCCTTTGCATTCTAGTCTCCCCAAATCAGCAACCTCTGCAGTCCTAAGACTTGCTTCCTTTTTTGGCCTGACCATGCCTCCAGACCTGTGATGCTCCTCATATCTGAAATGCCTATCTCAAGCCTACTTTCCTTCAAGTCCCCGTCAAGGTTTTCTTTGGATAGAAGGATTCTACAGGCTGAACTAATCAGAGGTACTTTTTTTTTCTTTTTTTTTTTTAAGGCTTACAGGTATGTGAGTCTTCTCTCTTCAAACAAGACCAACCATCTTAAGATGTGTGTCTTCTCTAGCTTGTGCTTCCTGTCACATTCTCACACGTTGACTTTGCCAGCAACACAGATCATCTTGCATTTCTATGGCTTCCACCATCATGTGGTTACTGATAGTCCCTGCAGTGGGCATTATGATTTTCATCTGCTCCGCAAGTCTTCTTCACCTTCTGGTAATAGCAACATATCATCCTTTCTTTAGTGAGCTGCCCCTCTGCACTTTATGTGGTTCTGGCCGGGATGTCAATCCTAGTAGGTAGGCACATGACCCAGGCCTGGCCAATCACAGTATTTCTATCTTCTTGGCCACAGTGATTGACCCAGGGTTGAGCATATTCCTCAAGCTGAGCCAACAGAGTCCTCTACTGGGAGTTTATATGAAAGATCAAGTAGTCCTCTTGTCCCTCTGGGATCCCATGCTAGGATGGTGAAGCTGTCTATGGCCTTGTGCAACCTCCACCCATCACATAGAGAAAACCCGTGCATGGTGGGGAATACTCAGAGGAAAGCTGAGCCAAGAGCTGGAGAGTCCTCACCACATCTGTGAGGACCTGGGTGTCCAAGACTCATTCATTTCCCTTCTTTCCAGTTATAGGAATTGGTAAATTTGCTTAAAGTAGTTCAGGTTGAATTTCTGTCCCTTGCAATCAAGCGTCCTAACTAATCATCTCCCAAATCTGCATTTCTAGCCAGGAGTTCTCTCCTAAGCTCTATTCAAATACAAATTTATTCTATGTCTATTTACTGAGTACCTACCCTGTGCCATGAGCTATACCAGGTGCTGTGCTAGGTTTGTTGAGGGCAAAGACAAACAAGATCCAGTCCTGGCCTACACACAGTTTGTTGTCTCCTGGGGCCGACTGAGGTGTTAGAAGATACAATTATGAAATAAACATTATGCAAGAGGCAGGCACGGGATCTACACTTAACCTAACTTGAAGAATTGGGGGACTGGGGGACCCCCAGAGGCGGTAGCATCTAAGCTGACTCTTGAAGAGGAAAATATAATTGCCAGGTGAAGAAGAGCAATTATGAGGTTGGGGTAGGAGAAGAAAGACATTCAGAGCACATGAAACAGCATGTATAAGGGCAAGGAAGTGAGAAAGAGTATTCCTCCTTCAGGGAACTTAAATGTAAGCTCCTCAAGGATAGAGACATTGTGTATCTCAATCACTGCTATTTCCCCAACACTTCTAACAGTGCCTGGCATGGGGCGGGTGCTCATGGGGTAGTGTTTGTGGAATGAACAAATGGCAAGGGCTTGATCAGATTTAGTTTAGAGAATAAAATACAGAGAGCCAAGGTCAGGAAGAAGGTTGTTGGAACACTGGAAGTGGAAACTATTAACCAAGGTAGCAGGAGTGCAAATGGGAAGAAGGATGGATATGGGAGCAATTAAGGAAGGAGAGTCAAGAAGGCCTGGTGACAGAATGACTGTGGCAGGTAAGAAAGGGAGGAATCAAGAATGAGGCTCAGGTTTGGGTCTTAAACAACTGGGGAGATGAGGATGTGACTCAGCAAGGAGGAAAAGTGGAGGATGGCAAGTTTTGAAGGGAGATAATTTTGGCTGTGGATTCCATGAGTTTGAGGTTCCAGTGGGCCGTGGAAGTAGAGATATTCAGTACATGGATTGCAACACGGAGCCAAAAAATACAGTTTTGGCAACTTAAGGGTAAAAAGGAAAGTATTTAATCAATGAGCAAGTCCAGGGAGAGGGTTCAGAGAGAGCGGAGCTGGGGGAAAAGACGGACCCTCAGAGAGGCAGAAGAACTAAGAGGTTCCTAAGAACCAGCAGCAGAAATGGGAGTTCTGGCAAGGAATCTTAGGGAGGAGAGGACGTTCAGGAGAGGAGTGAGCAACAGTAGAAATAATGTTGACAACTCAAGTAAGAGCAGAAGAGGGAAGGGCCCACTCGGCACTTTCAAGAGGGCTGCTTTGATGGGCCTGGTTGATGTGGGCTGAGGAGTGAGTGAGGTAAGGACGTGAGGAGACAATGAGTGAATACAAGAAGCTCAACTGTGAAGAGGAGGAGGCAGCATGGGAGAATCCAGAAGCAGTTTCTAAGATGGGAGTGACCTGAACATGTTTAAATGCTTCTTAAGGCTAACCTAATTCTACTCTATATCTTCACTTCCGCAGGCCCGAGGCACGAATGATTCAATGCCTTAGACCTGAAATGTATAGCAATTCTTTAAAAATAAATAAATAAATGCTTCTTAGAAGCAGCCAGTAGACAGGGAGAGAATGAAAAGAGTGGTATTTCAATATTGATGGCTCAAAGCTTAATGTGACTAATACTGAACTCACAATACCCCAACGCCCACCTCCAAACATTCTTTCTCATGGCTCCCATCTCAACCAATGCCCTGGTTATCTATTCAGCACCCTGGATAGCGCCCCATCCCCCGCCGCCCCAAAGCCATCTCTGAATTTTCAGTCCCCCTCAGATCTCATCAATCACTGATTTTTGTCAACACTAACTTCTAAATATTTGATTCTGTCTACTTTTCCTAAAGCCACTTCCCCAGTTCAGACCTATATCCCCTTCTATATGGACCACTGATATTGTCTAAATGGAGTCTATAAATCTCCCAGCTTTGAATTCTCACAGCTTCCAAAGTTTTCTGCATATATTGATCCAGTCACATCACCTTTATTCTAAAAACATTTCAGAAGGCTGGCCATCTTCTGAGAGGTGACATCCACCTGGCCTTGCCCACCCTCAAGATTGGCTGGAATCTAACCATCCCTGAGCTCCGCCAGCTCTAGCTTTTGTCTTTGCTTCTCTCCCATATGCGTTCTTAGGGTGCCCTACAAGATTTTGCTTCATGGGGAAATGCCATGCGCTGTCACATCCCCAAATCTAGGCTCATGCTGGTCCCTCTTCCTGGGACTCCTGGGCCTGAATTCTGCAGGCCCAGCTCAAATGCCACCTTTTCCTTCAAGCCTTCCTTGACCTCTCCCTCTACAGCTCAAATCACATCACTGCATGAATCACTCCTTACTGTACCTCTTCAAGGATGTGGTAGCAGGCATCACATGCTGATAATCATGGACATGTTTGCATATCAGATACCTCCTAACACATACACTGGAAGCAGAGACAATACAACGGATTCATCCTCACACACAGTAGATATCAGTATGTTGTTAGAGGAATCACACTGAATAATGGAGAAATTTGTTTCATGTAACCAAAGTAATTTCCACCACTCGTCATCATGGAACTGGATGAACTGGTTACAATTAAGTAAATCCAAGAATCACCTTGAATAACAGGTGGCTTCCTGGTTCTGCTGGTCACCTACTGGGAGGTAAGAGCTTGCTGTCTTCTCATTGCTGCAGCTTTGCTCTAGCTGAGTTCTAAGGCTTAGGGCTTGTCCGCGTCAGTCCATTTTATCCACCCAGCAAATGATGTCCAGCACAAGGCCCATGCTAGGCACTGGGTACACATAAATGAATAAGAGTTGTGCCATTAGGGTGCCGCAGTTTAACAATCAAAACAGTGAATACTTATCTACTAATGATTCTGGTCAGACATCATGTTATTCACTCGGTCCTCACAAAAATGCTGCCAAGTAGGTGGTACTGCTTCCATACTAGGATGAGGAAACTGAGGCTCAGAGAGTCCAAATCACTTGCCCAAGGAAAGCCTGTAATGGACTGTTGCTTTGGTGGTCCCCAATGAGACATGCCTCCCAGTATTCCTGTCCTTATGTGCTCTCCTCCCACACTGACTCAGGGATTGGCCATGTGACTTGCTTTGGCCAACTGGACATTTGCAAGCCTGACACAGGCAGAGGCTTGATCAGCAGTTGTAACTTAGGACTTGTCCTCTTGGAATGCTCCCTCTTGGGATCCAGTTGCCACATAAGAAACTTGGGCTAGACTAGCAAATGATTAGATGCCACATGTATTGAGACCCTGGAGAATGAGAGGCTATTTTGTTGTCCCTCTCCTATTAGTTTCTCAACATAATGCAGCTGTGTGAGAGTCCATGTGAGAACAGCAGGGCCCACAGCCACAGTCACAGTCACAGCTGACCCACAGACCATGAAGGAATAATAAATCACTGTTGTTTTAAATCCAGAAATTCTGGGGTCGTCTGTTACAACCTAATGAATAACTAAAACCATGATAAAGTAGGATATGAACCCAGTACTATGTGACGACCAAAGCTCATGCCCTTGGTCTCCACATTGTGCTCCTTCTGATTGGGAACATCATGCTAACACTGTAATATACACAGGTTGGCCCATGGTAACATGCAATAATTTTTTTTATGTTTTTGAGACAGAGTTTCACTCTTATTGTCCAGGCTGGAGTGCAGTGGCATCTCGGCTCACCCCAACCTCTGCCTCCCAAGTTCAAGCAATTCTCCTGCCTCAGTCTCCTGAGTAGCTGGGATTACAGGCATGCACAACCGCACCAGCTAGTTTTTGTATTTTTAGTAGAGATGGAGTTTCTCCATGTTGGTCAGGCTGGTCTCGAACTCCTGACCTCAGGTGATCAGCCCGCCTTGGCATCCCAAAGTGCTGGGATTACAGGTGTGAGCCACTGCGCCTGGCCTCATATTTGTTAAATGAATGGATAAAGGGTGTGATAGGTCACCAGAGAGGTAAAGAGATCTAGGGAATTCAAAGGCAGGATGGTAATTACTTTTCAACAACCATCACCCCCTTCCCATTACAAATATTCCAAAACAAAGCTGGGCACAGTGGCTATAATCCCACCACTTCAGGAGGCTGAGGCAGGAGGACTTGAGCCCAGGAGTTTGAGACCAGACTGGGCAACATAGGGAGACCCTGTCTCTACCAAAAGAAAAAAAAAAAGTACGCAGGTGTGGTGGCATATGCCTGTGGTCCCAGCTACTTGGGAGACTGAGGTGGGAGGATCGGTTGGGCCCGGGAGGTCAAGGCTGCAGTGAGCTATGACCACTCCACTGCACTCTAGCCTTGGTGACAGAGCAAGAGCCTGTCTAAAACAAACAAATATTCCAAAACAAAAACAAAAATGAAGCCATATAGGCATTCCTAAATCTAGAAACAACTGTGTGGATATCACCAAACTCCCTCTCTGTGTCTGTTTCTTTCTCTGTTAAATTCAGATCAGGCAAAATTGAGAAGGTAACAGAGTTTGTTTTCTGGTGGCCCTGCCTCTCTGCCCCCAACTCCCCATCACATTCATGGCATCTTCTCTCCGTCCCACTTGGCCTTCAGGGCCCAACAGTTCTTTCCCTCTTCCCCTGTAAAATCCACATGCAGAAAAGGGGCTGAGAAGGTGGAAATTACAGAAATGGGGAAGGAAGATTTGGATGTTAACAGATGGATTTACAAGCCAAAGAAATGAAGCTCTAAGCTGGGTACTTTTAGGAGGCATCTGCCAGCAGGTGGAGGTATCCTAAGGATGGGGGAGGCAGCTGGAGTTGTCCCCATTATACCCCTATTAGGCCCCTGTGGGTGGGGAGTAAAGGAATGCCCACTGCCTCTATAAATCCCTCTGAATCCCCCAAGAAGGCTGGGGCTCTGACTCTCCACACCTGTGGCTGTGGCCCCAACATGTATACCTCCCAGAGTAGTCACTCCAGCCTGGCGAAGACCCTCAGGGGTCAATGCATCCAGTCCTCTGCCTTCTGGCAGCCCTGGCACTGCTTTTTCTGTTCTAAGCCCTCCCTTACTCTCCTGCTCCTGCAAACAGGCACACACCTCCCAAGGTCACACACAGGCTCCAGAACCTGGATCCCACACCCAGAAAACCATCTGGGTCCCTCGCTGCAGAGAGACCTAAGGAGAGAGCAGGCCCACACAGTACTCGCCGGCAGACTGTGGGCAGTGCACACAGGCCCCGTGTCACACACACTCACATGAAAAGCAATGCAGAGGGGCGCACACATTCAGAGACACTGTGAACACTGTCACCAGTACAGGCACTGGATGTAAAGAGTCAGAAACATGCGTGCACACACATGCACACCTCCAGACTATCACACGTGCACACCAGCACGCACTGACACCCGCACAGGTGCCCAGCCAGGCCTCAACACCAGGCCCCTCCCCCAGCCCCTCAGAAGCCGGCAGGGAGGGCTGGGGTTTCAGGGCGCTTCCCCTCCTCCCTCCCTCTGGCCCCTGTTCTCCAAGGTCCACAGTCCCAGTGGGGTTCTGGAGCCCGCCCCCGCCCCAAAACCTGGCTCAGGGAGCGACAGGCGAGAGGGGGGAGGGGAAGCCTGATCTCAAAACGTTCTGATTTTAATTTCTTAAATTAACCCCTTCCCTTCCTCTGGTCTGGCCTGCCCAGAATCCCTCCCGGTTGGGCGGCCTCGCGGGCCTCCGGAGGGCTGTAGGGGAGAAGGAAGGGGACGAAGGCACAGTGGCTGGGGTCCTCCCTCCTTCCCTCTCCAGGAGCAGTCCCGCAGCGTGCCCGCAACTCGCCCTTACCTCCTCCACCCCGCGGCGAGGCCAGGCCCAGCGGCCCAGGGCTGGGGGGCGCAGAAGAGCCCCCGCGCGCCCGGTCCAGACGCAGGGCCGCCTCGGGGCCTCGGATCTCGTTCCCCTCCGCAGCCTCGGGTGGCGGCCGCGGCTAGCGCCCCCGCCTCCCTGTCGGGGCGGGGGCGGCCGAGCCTCCCAGCCAGTCACAGCGGGAGGGGCGCACGAACCCGGCGGGAGGAAGGATGGAGGAGGAGGAGGAGGAGGGGGAGGAGGGGGCGCGCGGCCCGAGGAAAGCAAGGGAAGGGGGAGGGAGGCAGCACGGAGGTGGGGCGGAGCCAGCCCCTCCTCCGGGGCGGGCTCTCCAGCGAGCTGGGGAGCGGCAGATGCGGCCAGAAGCGGCTGCGCCGGGACCCCACGTTTTCCGCTCAAGGTGGTTTCGATGGGGGAGGGGTCTTCGGCGCCGCCCTGGGGGTGCAGGGACAGCTCGCGCCGCGCTTCTCCCGGATCCCAGTCTTCCCGGCTCCCGGCACCGCCCAGTGCACTCCCCGCCCTGGGCACCTCCAGCTGTGGCTTCTGTTGCCCACCTTGAATCAGGGCCTCTCCACCCTAACCCTACCACTCTGGCTTGGGCCTGCTTCCACGCGGGGGCAAATCCGGGGGTGGGCTGTTCTGTGAATCCGGAAGGGGGCGGGCGCGGGCGCTACTCCTGAGACTTGCGCCACGATCCCTAAGCGGCCTCATGGGCAGCACGCCTGGGTCGTGCACTCGGCGACCTCGGGTCAGACGCTTGGTCTCCGCGGAGACCGCCTGGGATGATGCCCTCTGGGCATTCCTAAGGAACCAGCGGAGCTGGGGCCGGACCCCATCCGGGGACCCAATTCTGCTCTTAAAGAGCCGCCTAGGAACACGTGTACCCATCACAAATCCCATCCCGGACCTAGAGGAGGAGGAAAAGGCCTCCAGGTCCCTGATTCCCTCCTACCCACTCCCACCACTTGGCTAGGAGAGCAGCCAGGCTTCTTGGGACTGGAGCACCCAGAGGGCCCCACCTTTGGCCTAAGGCCTACCCAGCTGGTGAGGCAGGAACAATCTGGCTGTCGTGCGCTTGGAGGAAGTCCACAGGGCTGTAGTGGGGCTGAGAAACAGGTTTGGAGGCTACTAAGGCCAGAGCAGAGCTGAGGCTTGGATGAGAAAAGGGGAAAGTGTTATTTCAGCCTGAGGGTGGTGCTTGGGCAGGGCTGTGCACATGTGCCTTGAGGGACAGTCTGGTTGCAGGAGAGCAGAAACCCAACTTAGTCCCAGGATTCCAGTAACTCTGGGGCTTATGGGAACTCTCTTTGATCCCCATCCCATTCCTGTGAAGGCAGAGGCATTGGGACATTCAGTATCAGGAAGGATAATTTGTAAACTTGTCAGTGGCTTTGGGGGAATGGCAAATTTAATAAGGGCAGAGGCTGTACAGTGGCCAATCAGGTCGAATTCCCCCTCTCTTGATCTTCTCTTCCTCTCTATAGCTCTTGAATTTCTTTCTTCCTCGAGGAAGTCTTCCGAGATTGGGCAAATGAGAAATCACTTTTCCTAATACCTAAACGATAACAGCTCCTATTAACCAGGCGCCAAGCATCATGCTAATAATTTTTATGCATATCATTTACTCTTATTATTATTATTATCCCCACTTTGCAGATGAAGCCGCTAAAGTTCAGAGCTCAAAAAATGGCATAGTCAGGATTTGAACTCAAGTCATCAAACTCCGAAGTCTATGCTCAACCACAGTGCTCTCCTGCCTTCTCTCTATAATAAAGTCCACTGGACCTTCACCTGTTAAAATGCAGATTCCCCAAATCCATCTGCTCTTGCAGATGGCCAAAAATGTCCGTATATTTTCTTGGTTTAACCTTTGTTGTTGTGATGTTTCTCCTCACTCTGTGAATCTTGTGAATGTGTCAAAACAATTTGGGACATGCACGGCTATGTATGTGTGTGCTTTTGTGCATGTGTGCATGAGTATGTGTGGATGTGTGTGTGTATGCAGTTGTACACAGGTGCATGTGTGTATCTGTGAGCACATGCATGCGTGCATGTGTGTATGTGTGGGTATGAGTTCATGTGTGTGTATTTGCACATGTGTGCATGTGTGTGTGCATATGTCTATGAATGTATGCATGTGTATTTGTGCGCATGTGTGCCCATGCTACATTTCACAGATAACAGTTCCTGCTTGGTTGTTATGGGAACCACAGTTCTAAAAATGTTAAACTGAATCCCACTCCATGTGAACCAGAGAAACCAAAAGAGAGAGCGAGCTCAGTGACGGAGACACCTCTGGGGTCCCAGAGCTGAGGCAGAGAATTGTGGGCTCAGGGAGAGCTGGAAAGACCCAGACTAGCCAGAGGTGTAGACCCACTCATGAGACCTATGGTGCCCATCAGAGCCCCTCGCTGCAGACTCAGTCCTCAGTCCTGCTTTTTCCCATCTCTCCCTCCTGATCCTTTCTCCTCCCTCTCTCTTTGCCAGCTTCATGCTCTCCAACCACTTTCCTTCTCTTCCTCCTCTTTCTGTTTCCCTTCTTCTCCTTTTGGGTTTTTTTTTTTTTTTTTTTTTTTTTTGGTTGTTGTTCGACTAATTGACATAATAATTAAGCACTTTCATGTTAGGCTTGGTGATATGGGGACCACAAATGTGGATCAAACAAGGTTTCTGCCCTTGAAGGTGCTCAAGAGTGGGAGCATTTGGATAACTGGTGGGGGAAGAGAGGTGGCAGAGCAAAGCACAAAGGGAGAGATGACAGAGGAGGTTGGAAGGTGAATTTGGATCCGATAAAGAGGGCTTTGACAGCAAGGGTGAAAAATAGGTATTTTTTTTATAGGAGAGTGGAAACCTTGGTCAGTTTGGGATAAACACTTGTTTGTTGTGAATGGCATATTAGGAAATTTTCATCATTAGTGCTGGGCAATGTGGAATGAAAGAGGGATAAGGGAGGCAGAGGGACCACAGGAAGCAGTTTGGCATAATGTAGCCTTCTCTCAAATAGGGTACAGGAGTTGGGGTGAAGAGAGAGAAAATAGCAAACATTCTGGGTTGCTTTCTCAAACTCTCCCCCATATCCCACCTCATCAAGATTTGTATTACTTTTTCCCACCTTTCCAGTGTGAGAATCAGGACTTCTCTGTTCCTCTATTACTTATGTGTGTGTTGAATTTCTCAGGTGCACCAGAAAGTAAAATAGTTGGGAACCACTGGCCCAGCATGTAGTAGCACTCAGTATCTGTGGAGTGAGTGAATATTTAGATATGCACTGGTCTTGGAACTGGAAGGTCCAGGTTCAAGGCCCATTTCATTCTCTTATTATCTGTGTGCCCTTCAGAAAATCCCCAAATATCTTGGGCTTCAGTTTTCTCTTCTATAGAGCGTGGGTTTGGACAGGATGTTCTTTTTAAGAAAATATTTTAAAAAATAGAGACAGGGTTTTGCCATGTTGCCCAGGCTGGTCTTGAACTCCTGGACTCAAGCCATCCACCCGCCTTGGCCTTCCAAAGTACTGGGATTACAGGCATAAGCCACTATTCCTGGCCTGGACAGGATATTCTTACAAACTCCTTCCAACTGCAATGTTGTTATGTGATTATATGAAATTGACATAGCCAAGGTATGTGTGTATATGGAGGGAGTGGCATGGACTAAGGTGCTGGCAATCAGCACAGAGAGGATAAATGTGGGAAATATTTTAATAGAAGAGTTCATATCATCTGGCTTCAGTTTTCAACAACATTGTTGACTAGATAGCCCAAATACTCTCTTGCTACAAAATATGTGGACTGCTTCATAAAATTGACAGACATTTCCTGAAATGTTTAGCTGAGCTTGCAAGAAAGGGGAAAAAGTCTACATGGACCAAAATAAGGGGACTGAGACCAAGAAATATAAGCATCAGATATGCCGTGACTAACCCCAGAAGGTATGGGAAGGGAGGCATATTGCTTGTTTGTCCTGACCTGGGTCCTGGTTAGAGAAGGGGGAACTGCCTCTGAGAATTTATAACTACTTGAGCTGGAGTTTGAACTCAAAACATCTGCATGTTACAAGAACTTCAAGCCAAGAAATTAACAAAAGATTGATCTCCATCAGGTGATACTCTTGGAGTGCCTGGTAGAAGCAAACAGGAAACTGCTCAGGAGAAACATACCGTCACCCAAGGCCACAGAGTATTGCTGCCCAAGTAAATCCCCACTGAAGTTGAGCCCACAAGCTAAAGATTATAATACGTAACAGGAAACAATGTGCCATGAATGAGAGTAGAGAAGACCCTGAAGAATTACAGTAAGATTCAACAAGTCTAAGTGACAGCCTGGATGTGTGGGGAGGGAAGAAGCAAAAGTGAATCCCACAGAGCTGTAGTTGCTTAGATGAGTTCAGCGAATCAAATAACATTGCTATTACCAGAAATGTGGAAGGGTGATTTGATTTTAGACAGACTGTATTTGGAATGGTGGTGGGACATCCATATTGGGATATTCATTAGAACCATGGGGCTGCCTGACTTAGAAGCCATTTACATAGGAATAATAGCTGAAGGCTTGGCAATGAATGTACTCTCTAAGGAAAGTGTTGAAACAGGAAAGAAGAGAGCTAAGAACTGCTCCAGGAAAACACGTTTTGAGGACCAGTTGAAAAAGAGGAGCAAATAAGGAAAATGAGCTCTTTGGTCTCCAATTCTGGTTGGGTCCTGGGTTTGGATTGATTTTCAGATTGTTTGGTTTTAATTCTTTCCATCTCTAGCCTAACATTCTCATCCCTCACAATCCCTAGGGGACGCTCCAATAAAAGGGAGCAGTGTCCCTTGGAACATAGCAGGAACTTCTCAGCTAGGAATTATAGAGCCAGACTGGGCTCTGATACCAGGACTACTACTAAGTCACTTCTTTGGGGTTCAATTTTCTCATCAGTGATGTTAAGCCTAGGTGAGTGTGAGGACAAGGGGAATAATAGAGCTGATAGCACTTGCTGGAATGCTGCTGGAGAGGACAAGATAGGGGTGATCAGAGGCCAGCCACCCACTGTCTGCATTTCCTCCTTTGTTCAGGTTGTGTGGTTTGGGAGCAGTTGCTTGAAATATGGGCCATTATGCTTTTCTTGCCCTACCCTTCATGAAAAGTGAAGTCAGGTGGCCCATGCCTAATAAGTGAAAGGTGTGGTGACTTAAATAGTAAGACAATGAGGGTCATCATTATCTTGCGTCTCCATGAATATACCACTTACTTATCACAGTACCTGACAGTTCACCATTTGGGCCTCTTCATAGGGTTAAACATTGCCCTCTGCAGGCTATTCTTCTAAAATGTTAATTCTCCTAGAAGAGGTAATATTAAATCCTTTATCACAAATTAGTTTCTTAGATACAAGATACTTGGCCACATGAAAGCACTTAACACCTGGGGAGAGAAACGGATGGGATTCTCTGAGTTGATCATTTTGTCTCTGGTCAGTTGGACTGTGCGGTGGAGGGTGAGCATATCTGAGAGTGAAGGGGTGAAGAAAGAAGCAAGAGGATCAGAAGCTGGTTTGATCTGGCATCATAGGGCTGTAAGCTCTCTTAATTCAAGAACAGCTCAGCTCAGAAGAGAAAAGAATGAAGTCCCCAGACACAGGCCTTCTTTCTTCCTTATCAGAGAGGGGTCATTGGAGCAGAGAGATGGAGAGCACAGCAGCCTTTTTATGCTCCAAGGTCTGCCCAAGGTGGCCAGAAAAAGTGGAAAAGCTTTGGGTAGGGAGTTCAAAGAGAAAAAGGGCCACCTTCACCATTACAAAGTCATGCTTTCCTCATCACCCTCCTAGCCTTCCTCTGATCCTAAAGCCATAAAGGGTTCACTTGGAAGGACAGCTGGAGAAAAGTGGCTGTGGCAGGTGCATGGTTGAATGGTAAGTAGGCTGATGCCTCCTGGAGAAGATCCTTTTTGTGGGAAGAGCAACTAAGGTGACCATGAGTCTCTGGCAAGTGCCTGCTCCTTGCTATATTCAGGTGTGCTCTAGCTAAATGCTGATACCCTTTGGGCCCTGACACCATGTGACTCTTGAACAGATGCATAGATACTGTCTGGAGTCTCTGTGACAGTGAACACTCTGGGCTTTCTCAAACAGCACCAAAATACTGCAGCCTTTTGCTGCTGTCGCTACTGCCTGGAGCTCCCTCTAGCTGCCAAACCTGTTTCTCACCTTCTGGTAGGAAGCGTTTCCAATCAGTGCTGTTAAGCTTAGGTGCCTCCATTCTGAGGTTGGAAAATGAGGGTTGGCTTTGAAGTTAGATAGATGTGTTTGACCTGTCTGTTCCTAGCCTGGGTTAACTACATTGTTCCAGCAAGCTATCTACATTGCTTCCACATCTTTGAAGTGAGGTGTATGCCTGCTTTATTTGGGATTGTGAGGATTAAGGAGAATAATATATATATAAAATGTTGAACACCTACACCTTTTAACCACTTTGAAGTTCCAGAAACACCTCCAGCCCTTAGGTGAGCTGTGATTAAATTCGTTCATTAACCCAGCACACATTTATTAAATGCCTACTCTGTGCCGCAGTTCCTGGCAGGTGTACCTGACAGTGGGTGTGTAATATGTTCAGGGCCTGTACCCCATGAGCGTGGGGATGACCTTTATCTTCTGGCACTTATGGTCCTGGGGGAGAAGCTGAGGGGAAGGGTCAGGAGCTTACATGGCAGATTCGGTAAGCTTTTAGCACAATAATTTTAATTGCAAAAATAAACAGTTTTGTCAACTGCTTGAGAGTAGCGTCTGCTTTACAAAAATTAACAACAAAAGAAAAAAACCCCAAAGCAAAACGTTACATCCAATGGCTGCTGGATAAGACACTGCTGTACAAAGTCCCGCGCGAGACCGGCTTGGCGCTGCCCCAGCCTGTCTCTGGGGGTTATAGAGGAAGGCGTGGGGCGTGCGCCAGTTACAAAAGACTGTCTTGAATCCCAGGGTAGTGCCTATTCACTGGGTGGTCTCAGAAGACTTCCCCCAAAGCGCGGCTGACAAGGGACAGCGCCCGGACCGCGGGAACTGTCCGCGGAACTGGTGCTGAATAGGGCGTGTGCGGCGGGCGCTTCAAGGAAACTGGAAGCGGGACCGGAGGCCGGCCCTCGGGCGTGCGAGGAGGAGTTGGAAGAAGAGCGGGGAGGGGAACGGCCCAGATCTCGTGTGCGCCGAATGGCGGCGCTCCAACCCATAAACCCATAAACCCATCTCTTGCTCAGAGGGAGGCGAAGGAGAGGCCCAGCGAGTAAAAGCCGAGGCCCTTGAGCCGCTCCTCGGCGCGCGCCTTCTGCTTGAGGTGCACCTTGCTGTGCCGTTTCTTCTCATCGCTGCGCGCAAAGCGGCGGCCGCACACGTCGCAAGCAAAGGGCTTCTCGCCGGTGTGGGTGCGCACGTGCGTGGTGAGGTGGTCGCTGCGGCTGAAGTTGCGGAGGCAGATGCGGCACTGGAAGGGTTTGTGGCCCGTGTGGATGCGCAGGTGGCGATTGAGCTCGTCGGAGCGCGCAAAGCTCCGCACACAACTCTCCACTGGGCAAGCGAAGGCCTTGGCGTGCGGCCGCGGGCAGAAGCAGCGTGTGCTGCATTTGCCACCACGGCGCCCCTTGCGTCGCACCTTGGCCTGGGGGAAAGGGGTGGGCGGCGGTGGCGGCACGGGTGGTGCAGCCACGCCGCTGCTTCCAGGGATGTCCGCCACCAGAGGTTTGGGGAAGTCAGCCGCGGCGGCGCTGCGAAGGCCCAGCGGGGAAAGCTGAGGCTGCGTACTGACTAGAAACTCTCCGCCGTCGCCGCTACTCCCTCCCTCCCCACTAGGAGGGGTCAGGAGCCCAGGGAGGCCCTCAGCCCCCTCCCCTAAGTCACCCGGGGCCAGCGGGAAAGCGTCGTAGGCCCCGCTAGGGTAGAGTCTGTTGGCTGGGACGGCCGGCAGTTCCGCAGGGCAGCTGATGGACAGCAAGTCCTCAATCTTGGTCCCTATTGCGGGAAAACGAGCCTCGGGGGCGGTCTGGTAGCCTCCCTGTGACCCACAGTTCCCCGGGGCCCCCACAGAAAGCAGCTCCCAGGGCGCGTAGGGACCCTTGAAGGCAGAGGCAGCGTCCAGCGCTGGCGAGGCGGGAGGCGCCCGGAGGCCGGGCTTGACGTCGGGCGGGGAGAGCTGAGGCTCATACAGGCACTGCGAGGGGGCGCCCGCGCAAGGCGAGGCCTCCCAGAACGCCTCTGGGAAGGGGACAGAGCCCAGATCCGGGGAGTAAAGGTCCGGCGGACCCGGCAGCAAGGCATCGGGCCCCGCGGGAAAAGAGGCATCCAGCGGGGATCTGGACGCTGCTGCCTCTGGACCGGGGAACGGTGCCAGGCCTAAGATGCCCGACATGAGGTTGAAGAGTGCCTCTGGGTCGTGCGGGTGTTCGGGCACTGCCTGAATGAAGAAGCTACCGCTGTAGCTGAGGCCGGGAGGGGGTGTGGGCGCAGGCCCCTCCAGGAAGCAGGAGTCGGCTAAGTCCCCACTTGCGCTGCAGCTGTTCAAAGCCCAGCTCAAGAAGTCGCCTGCTGAGGAGGGAGCAGGAATCAGCTCTGGGCACATCAAAGGGTGCACCTGAATCCACAGCCCCTATCCACGAAACTCTTGGTGCCCACAGATACACACAAAGTGCCTTTTGCACGTTCTGATTCAGCAGGGGCCCGCATACGTCCCAAGGAGCACATAGAAACATGCACACGCAAAACACACGTGCACAGGCAAAAGGGCGCTCCGATAACCGCACAGGTTCCTGCGGAGGCGCTGGCGGCCCAGTGTGGGTGGGAATGGGGGTGCGCACCCCAGGACTCCTAAGCTTCCCATCGCCCCTATTCTCACAGCTCCAGTGTCCCAGTCCCTCCCGGTTCTCAGGTGTGGTGCGCCCCCGCGCTGCGCTGTAGTCGTCTGAGCACCCCTGCTCGCCCTCCTTACCTCCAGGGTAGCCGGTGGCCGCGGGAGCGTCCCTGGCGGGCAGCCGGGGCAATTCAGCGCTGGGTTCGGCGCAACAGCCTTCAGTGGACTTGACCAGGAGCGCGTCGGGTTCGGAAAACTCGCTAAGGTGGAGCATGGCGCGGCGCCGGCTGTGGGGCGCCCGGGGCCTCTCCCGCTGGGCTTGGGGGCGCGCGGGTGTCGGGGAGGCTGGCGGTAGGGGTTCCCCGCAGCGCGCAAACCTAGGCGCCCGGGCTCCTGGCTTCGGGCACTCACCTCTGTGAAAAGAGTCGGGGAGCCGCGGCGCCCTAGCTCGCCCGCACCGGCCTCGGGCGGCGGCTCCTCGCCTCTCCAAAGCGCAGCCGGGCTCCCCCAACCCACAGCCCCCCCACTTATATAGCTGCGGCGGCGCTGGCTCCGGGCTTCCGACTCCCCGGGCCACTGCCATTTTGGGAGGCCCCGGCCCTGCCGCCGTGACGTAAATGCCCAAACATGGACACAGGATGTGTGCCGGGGACTCCCGAAAAGGAAAGCTCGAGCTGTGACGTTGTTGTTGTCGCCGCCGCCGCCAGGCTAGCGCCGCTGCGTGCGCGCGCGCTCCCCAAGCGTGGAGCCTGTGTGCTCTGGGGCCGCGGATGCGCCGGTCTCGGGCGCTGCGCCTCACCCCGCCGACAGTTCAGTAGATGTGCTTCCCGCCTAGAGGCAGAGACCGAGGGGCAGCAGGGGAGGACCTTGGACTTGGGGTTCCACAGTGTTGGGTTTGAGTCTGCCCTCTGCCACTTACTAGCTTGACATTGAATCCCCTTTAACGTCAGTTTCTCACCTGTGCATTTCCTATGGAGAGAAACTGAGAGCACTTAAACGTCCAGGCGCACTCAGTAAAGCATGGAGATTATTGCCATTCATTTATTTTGCTCACGCCTGTGTTTTTCCATTTTAATTTTTTTTTTAATTTGTGCTAGGAAAAATAACTTATTTAAATTAAAAAGGACTGTAATACTTGTCAATAGTAGGAGGAAAGTCAACTAGCACAACAGCGTATATTCTAAATTGAAAAGTAAAAGTCCCTCTTTTTTCCACCCACGTTTATTACTAACTCCTGGGGTAGCCACATTTAAGTTTCTTGTGTATTCTTTCAGAATAATTTTATGTATATCCAAGCATACACATTGTTCTGCAATATTATTATTATTTTTTTCACTTGAAATAACTTAAGAGATTGTGCCATGTCCTAACATAAAGATCTTGTCATTCTTTTTCAAGGCTGTATAGTACTCCAGTGTAAGGGAGGACTTTGAGTTAGTCGATTTGTCTCCTATCTGTGAGCATGTAGGCAGTTTCCAACCTTTTACTTATACCAATGTTGTTGAAGTCAACATCCTTGACTATAGAAATGTGAATGTGTCTGAGAGATAAATTCCAACGGGTGTAATTATATGCCAAAGTATATATAAAATTTTGGTAGACAACTGGCAAATTATCTTCCAGAAAAGTAGGGCCAATTCCTGCTCACTCCTCCCTCACCCACAGGGTATGAGATGCTTCTGCAGACCATTTTTTCTGCCTTCATACAAATGACTTTCACTCTAAGGATGTTGTTCCCAGCAACACATAGGGAATCCACGGGAAATATCTCCCTGGAATCAGTACTTGAAATAGTTGGGCTTCTTTTGAGAAAAAAAAATCCTAGCCTTAAGGAGGCTGTGAATCTTGGCTGCAGAAGCATCAGAGCCAACTCCAGCAAAGAAGCTTGCCTACTCTTCTAGTCTCATTTCTCTTCTGCTGTGGTTTTCCCTCTGTCTCATTCTTTCACTCATTTTACAATGTTTATTTTATTTTGTATTATAGCTCACTTAACTCCTTTCTGAAACCAAATAAATACACAGGGGGAAGGATTAAATAAATACATGGAATAGCATGTTCTTCTTTATGAAGAGCATCAATTCCTGAGACTCTGTGTGCTGCAGGGTAAGGCAGGCAGGTCTAAGGCTCCCTCTTCCTTCTCTACTTTCTTTGAAATAGAAACAAAGCCCTTTGGGGGTGGTGGACTCAGCATCATGGTCTGTATAGTTCCCAGCCTCTCTTCCACCCCGTGCCCTCCTTTTCAAGGAGAGAGAGCCCAAGAATGCCCAAACCCTGCCACATTCTCAGTCCTTTCACCCTATGTCCATTATCCAAACATCCATTCATTCAGTTTCTCAATGTTCATTCATTCAGTATTCATTTCTTAAGTGTGTATCACAGACCAGAAGGTAGACTTTGGTTTTATGTCTGCTGGGACCCTGAGCCCCATCTCCAGCACTAGGTACCCACTCCTCATCCCACAATGACCCTATAAGTGTTTTCACAGAATAGGTCCTTTCACACAATCACCTGCAAAACATATGCTGACACACTTGTATGCATCTTCTCCTCGAGTCCACAAATCATACAAAGGTTCTCACAGGGTCATGCACTTGCAGTGTGCCTTACTAAATGGCTACACCTATGGTTCTGTGTTAGTAACACATACATGAGCATGTAGGAAATACAGAAACCCAGCAGATGTCTGTAAAGATTGGACACACCAAGCATGATTTTCCTTATACTCTATTTCAGATCCAGGGTTTGATTCTAATCCAAATGCATTGCCAAGGCCAGGTGAGCCCACACCAGACACGTAGGGCACACATGTCTCAAATCCACTCTGGCATCCTACTGCCTCAGAGGGAGGAGGAGGGGAGGAGTTTGGCTGGGCTGGTGTCCAGGTCTCCCCAGGTCACCCCGTCGGGCCAGATTGGTCGGCCCCAGGTTGCCCATCCCTTCTGCTGTTCTTCCCTCTGCCACAGCATTCCTCCTCCTTCTTAGTCACAGATAATTCCCCTACTCTCTTGGTGAGTTGCCAAGCCATTGCTGCTCTCTGCCAAGGGTGGTTGGACTAGGTCTGTGTTAGGACAAGGGTCCAAGTCACCCTAAGTTTCTTGTGTTAGAGGCCAGACCTGGGGGCAGGGCTCGGGGGTGGGTAGGAGTGATTAGGAAAGGAGATAGGGAAGAGACAGCTTGTGCTCTGGGTGTGGGATGGCTCACACCCCCATGTCTATGCTACTCACCTCCAGTGGACACACATACACACACTCACAGGCACAGAGGATGGCTGCCTCTGGAGGGCAATTTGCATCTGCATTTGGCTCCTTGAGGACTGGGAGGGAATATAAAGGGGGCTGAGCATTTTGTAGTTCTTCCCAGCTCGTCTCTTCTTCTCCCTACATTTTAACAGCTTACAAAGAGATTCTGGGCCCAAAAGGTCTTTGGGAAGGGAAGGAAGAGAGAGGAGCTTAGATTTATGAGCTCCATTTTAATCACACTTCAAATATAAAAACACAAATGTACACAAGGGAAAAAAGGGAAATCACATACATTGAGCACCTTACAAATATTTTATCATTCAATCTCCACAAAAGTTCTATGGAGTAAGGAATTGGAGACCAATTTCACAGATGAGGAAGCAGACTCAAAAACGTCAAATGACTTGATCGACACCACACTTCTATTCAGTGGTAGGGCTGAGAGTCAAGTCCAGGCTATCTTACTCTACAAGACAATTTAGGAGAAGATGATTAATTTTACAAAAGGATTCACTGTTAGATGGCTTTAGATGGAGGATCTCCCCGTAGCTTTCAAATAGGATGTGATGTGCAAACTCAAGCTGGCTGGTGCCCATTCCTGCAAGAACTCCCTGGAGTGATGGCCATGGATAGGAAAACAGTGGGTCACAACTAGTACTGAGGAGTAGCATATATAAGGTTCTTTGGAGCTGCTGTGTAAGTTGTTGGTGTGTGTATGTGTGTGTGTGTCTCTGTGTGTGTGTTTGTATGTGTGCTCTTGGGGAAAGTGAGAGCGAATTTTCTATTTCCATGGGAAAAGGTGCAAAGGAGAATTCACCTTCTAAGCAAGCACTGAACAAACATTTGCTGAATGAATTAATGAATGAAGAAATTCATTCATCAAATATTCATTGAGCACAGCCCAGTGCCAGGTGCTGGGTTGGCCCTTCAGATGCTGGTGCCGCAGTGCATGAGACTGGAAGCTTTGAATCCAGGGAAGGAGGTGGGGAGGGGCAGAGGGAGGGTAGAGGCAGCCTCCCTGCTCTCTCTTCTGGGGAGGGCTCAGCCCCTGTCATAGTTCTGGTTATGCTACTGCTCCCTCCTCCACACCCTACCTTGATCTTTCTGCTCTAAATATCATTGTGTTCAAATAATAGTGTATATATTTTAAAAAACTCCAAGAAGACAGCTGCCTGGGAGTATTAATCATGAAGAGGCCAGCACTCGGTCTCCATGGTGACTCCTGACAATGAGAGCTGAGGAACAGTTGCATGTCCCACTTCCTGGGGCCATGGAGATGCAGGGGCACTGCATCTCTCACTCCTCTTTCCTCTCTGCTTCTCCTTTCTTCTCTCTTCCTTACCTCTCCTCTCTTCTTCTCTCCTGCCCCCTCCCTCCACTCCCTCTTTTTTTCTCTTCCTAAAGGATTTATTTAAAAGCAGGGACAAAGGCAGGGTCAGCCATCAGATTAACAAAAAACATGGCCAATGAAGCCACAGCAGAAATGAAGGCTGCATCCAGTCGCAGCGTCTGCAGTGCCCAACTCCACTTCCAAGACCTCAGCAGTGCCCCCGGGCTTCCACAGCCAGTAGGGCAGAAGTAGTGTGATCATCTGCCCCTGAGGCAAGAGGCCGACTGTCAGGGTCCTTCTCTGTCTCTTTTCTCTTCCCTGCTCTCTTCCCTTCCCCATCATTTGTTTGTGGTTTGGGTCATTATTATGATTATGAGTATGGCTATTATTTTTAGTGCCCATGAAAGTAACAGGCTTATTGAAAACAGACAAATGTTAAAAATTAGAATGCAAAGAACAGGGTATCTTTCACTATCCTGTACACACACACACATGAACACATTTTAGGTCAATTCCTATAGATTTTTTTCATGCATATTCATGCAACATCCACTTAGTCAACATCCATTTAGTCAACAATCACATTATCATCATTCTTATTTACATCATTTTCATACTATACATAGTCTTGTAACTAACTTAACACTGTACCTTGTTTTTTTTTATTATTTTTTCCATAATGATACCCATCTATAGTGTTGATCTATAGTGTTGGTAACAATTTCACCACAGTATTTCATTGTGTAGATGAATATAATTTTTTACCTTGTTTCCTGTCTTTCACTATTATAAAGAATCTGGCTATATATAGCCTTTTATGTATATGTGGTACATTGATAGGGCAATAATATTACAGTATTCTAGCTAACAATTGCGTGTTATTTACTATAGGCACTATCTGACAGGTATTGAGAGCTTCACATATACTTATCATTTAATCCTCACCACAACCTGATTAGTGTTATTATTATTTCTGTTTTACAGATGGAGAAATTGAGCATGGAACACTAAGAAATTTGTCCAAGCTTACCAGGTTAGTGATGATGCAAGGGATTTGAACTCATACTATAGCCATAGGCTAGGTTACAAAAAGTGAAATTTCATGCTCACTTCAGCAGCACATATACTAAAATTGGAATGATACAGGGAAGAGTAGTATAGTCCTTAAA